TCGATGAGAATGGGGGCGTGCTCAGTCCTCTTTTTTTTCCTATATACAGGGGGTACCGGTGCAGTCAATGTGCGGGGGCACCGGCTAGTTGAGGTAGTTGAGGTAATATGTACATGTGGGTAGAGTTAAAGTGACTATGCATAAATAATTAACAGAGTAGCAGCAGCGTAAAAAGATGGGGTGGGGATGCAAATAGTCCGGGTAGCCATGATTAACTGTTCAGGAGTCTTATGGCTTGGGGGTAGAAGCTGTTGACAAGCCTTTTGGACCTAGACTTGGCGCTCCGGTAACGCTTGCCGTGGGAGGCTATATAGGCTTTGTCATGCCCTCTTCACGACTGTCTTGGTGTGTTTGGACCATGATAGTTTGTTGGTGATGTGGACACCAAGGAACTTGAAGCTCTCAACCTGTTCCACTACAGCCCCGTCGATGAGAATGGGGGCGTGCTCAGTCCTCTTTTTTTTCCTGTAGTCCACAATCATCTCCTTTGTCTTGGTCACGTTGAGGGAGAGGTTGTTATCCTGGCACCACATGGCCAGGTCTCTGACCTCCTCCCTATAGGCTGTCTCATCATTGTCGGTGATCAGGCCTACCACTGTTGTGTCGTCTGCAAACTTAATGATGGTGTTGGAGTCGTGCCTGGCCATGCAGTCATGGGTGAACAGGGAGTACAGGAGGGGACTGAGCACGCACCCCTGAGGGGCCCCCTTGTTGAGGATCAGCGTGGGGAGGTGTTTAGTCCCAGGATCCTTAGCTTAGTGATGAGCTTTGAGGGCACTATGGTGTTGAATGCTGAGCTGTAGGGAAAGGGCAGTGTGGAGTGCAATAGAGATTGCATCATCTGTGGATCTGTTGGGGCGGTATGCAAATTGGAGTGAGTCTAGGGTTTCTGGGATAATGGTGTTGATGTGAGCCATGACCAGCCTTTCAAAGCACTTCATGGCTACAGATGTCAGTGCTATGGGTCGGTAGTCATTTAGGCAGGTTATCTTAGTGTCCTTGGGCACGGGGACTATGGTGGTCTGCTTGAAACATGTTGGTATTACAGACTCAGTCAGGGAAATGTTGAAAATGTTGGTGAAGACACTTGCTAGTTGGGGAGCACATGCTCGGAGTACACATCCTGGTAATCCGTCTGGCCCCGCGGCCTTGTGAATGTTGACCTGCTTAAAAGTCTTACTCACATCGGCTACGGAGAGCGTGATCACATAGTCATCCGGAACAGCTGGTGCTCTCATGCATGCTTCAGTGTTGCTTGCCTCGAAGCGAGCATAGAAGTGGTTTAGCTCGTCTGGTAGGCTTGTGTCACTGGGCAGCTCGCGGCTGTGCTTCCCTTTGTAGTCTGTAATAGTTTTCAAGCCCTGCCACATCCGACGAGCGTCAGAGCCGGCGTAGTACGATTCAATCTTAGTCCTGTATTGACTCTTTGCCTGTTTGATGGTTCGTCGGAGGGCATAGCGGGAATTCTTATAAGCGTCCGGGTTAGAGTCCCGCTTCTTGAAAGCGGCAGCTCTACCCTTTAGCTCAGTGCGGATGTTGCCTGTAATCCATGGCTTCTGGTTGGGGTATGTACATACGGTCACTGTGGGGACGATGTCATCGATGCACTTATTGATGAAGCCAGTGACTGATGTGGTTTATTCCTCAATGCTATCTGAAGAATGCCGGAACATGTTCCAGTCTGTGCTAGCAAAACAGTCCTGTAGCTTAGCATCTGCGTCATCTGACCACTTTTTTATTAAACGAGTCACTGGTGCTTCCTGCTTTAGTTTTTGCTTATAAGCAGGAATCAGGAGGATAGAGTTATGGTCAGATTTGCCAAATGGAGGGCGAGGGAGAGCTTTGTATGCGTCTCTGTGTATGGAGTAAAGGTGGTCTATAGTTTTTTTCCTCTGGTTGCACATTTAACATGCTGGTAGAAATGAGGTAGAACGGATTTAAGTTTCCCTGCATTAAAGTCCCCGGCCACTAGTAGCGCTGCCTCTGGATGAGCGTTTTCCTGTTTAGTTATGGCCTTATACAGCTCATTGAGTGCAATCTTAATACCAGCATTGGTTTGTGGTGGTAAATAGACAGCTATGAAAAATATAGATGAAAACTCTCTTGGTAAATAGTGTGGTTGTCACGCCCTGGCTCTGGGGACACTGTTATGTTGAGCCAGGGTGTGTAGATCTATGTGTTATATTTCTATGTTGGGGGTTCTAGTTCGTCTGTTTCTATGTTTGCCTGAGTGACTCCCAATCAGAGGCAACGAGTGTCAGCTGTCGTTGGTTGTCTCTGATTGGGAGCCATATTTAAACTGTATGATTTTCATTCGTGGTTGTGGGATTTTGTTTCTAGTCTGTTTATGGTAGACCGTGAACTGTCACGTATCGTTTGTTGTTTTGATCGTGTCTCTTAATAAAGAGTATGTTTGCCTGCAACGCTGCGCCTTGGTCCTCGTCTGTTCTAGACGATCGTGACAGAAAATCCCACCACAACTGGACCAAGCAGCGAGTCGAGGAGCCATCGCCAGGGAAATCCCTAGCAGATCTCCGTGGCAGCCTCGACTGGGTCAAGCCGAGTGAAGAGCAGAGAGAGTGGACTTGGGAACAATGGAGGAAGAGCTTCGACTGGGTCAAGCCAATTGAGGAGCTGAATAGCGGGAGTTGGAGGCAGAAGAGCGAGAGTTGGGCGAGAACTATAGAGGCCTGGCCCACGGGGAAGAGAGACCCCCAGAAAAATTTTAGGGGGGGGCTCACGACGTCGGGGCAGCAGGAGGCCGCGATAGAGCGGTCCAGCGGGTTGGCAGAGGAGGCCGCCAGGTTACGGGGGCCACTGGTCGAAGAGGGGATGGAAGGTGTAGAGGCACGGCGAGAGGTACTGGGGTGTGTTACCAGTCCGGTCCGGCCCGTTCCAGATCCTGGTGTAGGGCCAGTGGTGTGTGTCCCCAGTACGGTCCGGTCTGTTCCTGCTCCCCGCACCAAGTCAGTGGTGCGCTTCGTCAGCCCGGCTCGGCCCGTTCCTGCTCCCCGCACCAAGTCAGTGGTGCGCTTCGTCAGCCCGGCTCGGCCCGTTCCTGCTCCCCGCACCAAGTCAGTGGTGCGCTTCGTCAGCCCGGCTCAGCCCGTTCCTGCTCCCCGCACCAAGTCAGTGGTGCGCTTCGTCAGCCCGGTCCGGCCCGTTCCTGCTCCCCGCACCAAGTCAGTGGTGCGCTTCGTCAGCCCGGTCCGGCCCGTTCCTACTCCACGCACCAAGCCAGGGGTGCGCGTCGTCAGCCCGGCTCGGCCCGTTCCTGCTCCCCGCACCAAGTCAGTGGTGCGCTTCGTCAGCCCGGCTCGGCCCGTTCCTGCTCCCCGCACCAAGTCAGTGGTGCGCTTCGTCAGCCCGGCTCGGCCCGTTCCTGCTCCCCGCACCAGGTCAGTGGTGCGTTTCGTCAGCCCGGTTCGGCTCACTCCTGCTCCTCACACCAAGCCAGTGGTGTGCGTTGTCAGTCCAGCACGGCCCGTGCCTGTTCTCCACACCAAGCCAGTGGTGGGCGTCGTCAGTCCGGCACGGCCCGTGCCTGTTCCACTGGTGCCTGGTTCGGCACTGGTCAGATGTTTTACGCCGGAGCTAGAGCAATCCGCTCCATCAGTGTGCAGTCCAGCTCCGGCCAGCGGGGCCAGACCAGACCAGGGGTACTTTGGGGGGTTGGAGAGGGAGCGGGGATCAGGCCCGGAGCCGGATCCGCCGCCTAGGCGGAGTGCCCACCCGGTCCCTCCCTTGTGGTATTTGGTTGACGCGGTCGGAGTCCGCGCCTTTAGGGGGGGGTACTGTCACGCCCTGGCTCTGGGGACACTGTTATGTTGAGCCAGGGTGTGTAGATCTATGTGTTATATTTCTATGTTGGGGGTTCTAGTTCGTCTGTTTCTATGTTTGCCTGAGTGACTCCCAATCAGAGGCAACGAGTGCCATATTTAAACTGTATGATTTTCATTCGTGGTTGTGGGATTTTGTTTCTAGTCTGTTTATGGTAGACCGTGAACTGTCACGTATCGTTTGTTGTTTTGATCGTGTCTCTTAATAAAGAGTATGTTTGCCTGCAACGCTGCGCCTTGGTCCTCGTCTGTTCTAGACGATCGTGACAGTGGTCTACAGCTTATTATAAGATACTCTACCTCAGGCGAGCAAAACCTTGAGACTTCCTTAGTATTTGATTTTGTGCACCAGCGGTTGTCCAGGGTGTGTGTTGGTGTTGGAGACTTGGAATGTCTGTAAGACAATAGATGAGATGTTCTTTCTAAACAGACACATTATGTAATGAATGATCATCGGTTCAAATCAGATCCCTATGGAAAATCAGTCACACAAGTCCAATGTGAAAGTGTACCTTGTTCAGGTAAAAGTTAATTTATGTACAATTTTGGCAGGTTGGAGACAGGTTAGAGACTCCTGCAGTACGAAACAGTACTGCAACAGTCTTATTGTTGATAAATATTCAATTATGACCCACAGATAAGCTACTCTAAGTTGCTCTACTGATCTATCCCACTGGGCACACACTGGTTGAATCAACGTTGTTTCCACGTCATTTCAATGAAATTACGTTGAACCAACGTGGAATAGATGTTGAATTGACGTCGGTGCCCAGTGGGATTTTACAAAGGAAAAGAGAATGGTGTACACTATAAAAAAGGCCAGTTTGTTCAAAACTGTTTAGTCAAATCTTCAGAGAAAACTGCAAAGTGAGATGAATTATTCAGCAGGGGCTATCGGTTTACTTTAGGTCGCTTTTCTCTGTTACCATGGTAGAAATACATACATTATTTACTGCCCCTGTACTGTAGCTTTAAGAGCGAGGCAGCTTAGGACTGCCAGTCTTTTATAGAACTCTTCAAACTGTGAGGATTACTCTCTAGTAATCCATGAGGAAAAAATAGTTTGTCTAGTCAAAGGTGGTTATGTTAAGCTTCGAATGAAAGAAGAAGGGGACTGCAAAGCACCTTTCTGGACCATGTAATCTACTACTGGGTTTTCCAATGGAGGAGACAATGTTGACAACGCCGGGCGAAGAGAAGCCCCAGAAACAGCTGAGGTTCCGCGTGGCTTCGGGGAACAGCGGTCGGGTGCTGAAGGAGATTTTTAAAGATGAGGGGCCGTCAGACTCATTGGATTCAGACTGCACCAGTAGTTTGGATGCGGACCGGACCAGTACGCCTTCCACAAGTGGAGATACTAATGGACATGGGTTTCTGTATGGGTTTCTGGGCTCCGAGTTGGATTATAGTGAGAGCGAGCCGGATGATCTGCTCATGTACGCAGGGGCCTCAAAGGACAGAGCACCGATCAGCCACAAGCGTGTCAACATCCTCAGCAACAATGGGACTGTGAGGGGAGTCAAGCACAAAGTCAGTGCAGGTCAGGCCTTATTTGAAAACCTCCCTAATGCATTTGGGGTAAGTGATCTAGGTGAAAGTATGATGAATATGTATTGTACCTTTTCAGTGTTTTTTCAAAGTTCTCATTTGTTTGCTAGTAGATCACAGCAAAATTGCAAATGTTAAATCAATTCTAGTGTTAATATTGTCAATTTTGTGTTAATATTGTCCCACACTACACAGAGTAAATGTAACACTTTCAAAAGTGTTAATATTGTCCCACACTACACAGAGTAAATGTAACACTGTCAAAAGTGTTAATATTGTCCCACACTACACAGAGAAATGTAACACTTTCAAAAGTGTTAGCTTTTTAACACTTTCACAGAATGTTGACTCAGTAAATAGATCAAAATCAACATGTCAACACTGGTTATTGTTGCATTCACTCTACACAGTGTTAGAAAAACAGCAGAGTACATTTTTTACTTGAATAGTTGACTACCTTTTAACAGTGTACGGTGTGGGCTTAAATTACACTATAAATCTTACAGACTCCATATAATATAATAAACATGATTTAATATTCTAAACATTTGTCTGCATAAAATATCAAAAGCTGCTTTATAACCTATAAAGTATCTTTATAACTGAGGGAAAACAGGTGCTGTTTATATCCTTGTCTCATATAATAAATTACAAGACAGAGAACAGAATAGCATACATTCTAATTACTATACAAGATAAACCAGGTTTAAATATCAAAATATACCGATCACTCTCTCAATATTGTTTTTCTCTCAAAAGCCACTACTGGTAGAAAACGATAATGAAACAAGTCCTGCTGAAACTGAGGCTGGCCTAATATGGACACCATAGACTGCTTAGTATTAATGACATCACATAACTTTTTGTCATCTGCATTACCATATGTAATATATGTAAGAGGCCAGTAGCCCACCTCCTCCACAATGTTACTGGCTGACGTCTGGTTACAGGTAGTCACTCTCAGGCCCTGCACAAATGAACACAAAGGAGGACAAGGTCACTTGGGAATTAATTATGCATTTCGTTAAATGTTTCAAGAGAAGCTAATCAGGTTAATTAATTGTCTAAACTTTGCTTTCTAGCATTTTCTGTGTAAAGAGGTAATGAGCAGTAAGCATCGTTAAATAACCTGCATTAAAGCACAATATGGGAATTATATGAGACACCTAGAGCAGGATTTGGTGGTAATGGAATGAGGCGTGTGAAAAGAGTGCATAGTGTTGCCAGCCAGGCGTAGAGAGGGATTACCTGTTTGGTTCCTCAGGGCTGTAGTAGATACACAACACTGTCTGCAGGATAAGGTGTGCTGAATACTGTATGCAGAGGAGGTTTGTGGGAGGAGCAATAGGAGGACAGGCTCATTGTAATGGAATCAATGGAACAGTGTTTCCATATGTTTTAATTGGAAATTTTTAAACCCTTTTTCTCCCCAATTGGTAGTTACAGTCTTGTCCCATCGCTGCAACTCCCGTACGGACTCCAGAGAGGCGAAGGTCAAGAGCCATGCATCCTCTGAAACACAACCCTGCCAAGCCGCACTGCTTCTTGACACACTGCTCACTTAACCCGGAAGCCAGCCGCACCAATGTGTTGGAGGAAACACCATACAACTGGCGACCGTGTCAGCGTGCATGGGCGAGCGCGATGGGACAAGGACATCCCGGCCGGCCAAATCCTCCCCTAACCCGGAAGATGCTGGGCCAATTGTGTGCCGCCTCTTGGGTCTCCCGGTCGCGGCCGGCTGCGACACAGCCCGGGATCGAACCCGGGTCTGTAGTGACGCCTCAAGCACTGCGATGCAGTGCCTTAGACCGCTGCGGCACTAGGGAGGCCCGGGATTTCCATATGTTTTTGACGTGTTTAATAACGTTCCATTCCATTCCAGCCATTACAATGAGCCCGTCCTCCTATAGCTCCTCCCACCTGCCTCCTCTGATGGGCTGTAGTGTTACAGACTAGATAGTTCAATTGCTGTAGCAAACAAACAAACAAAGAGGAATCAACATTTTGAAAGAAGTTACTAGATGAATACATTTCCACAGTCAAAGTTGAATTTCACATTAAACAGAGAGGATTTTGTTGACTCTGATTTTCTAGTCAAATGGTACTTTTCCCTCGATGTTTGCCAAATTGGAAATGTGATCTGGCCATTGTTACGATTGTAAAGTGTGAACTTTAGGGGCCAGTTTTCTGGACACAGATTTAGTCTCAAAGGTATTTCAAGAGATAAACCATTTATTTTTCATCCATTACTAGGTTTATTAACCTGTGTCTGGGAAACAGGCTCACAATATGCTGTCCTTCAAAAGGCTGCACTATGGTGTTTTCAAACTACTGTGTGAAAATAAAGGAAATGAAAAGAAAGAAAGAAAGCTACAAAAAAGGCTAAATATGCCTGATATATAGAATTAAAGCTCTGTCATTTTACAGTATATGAAAACTTGAATTTGAGGGATTGAAACATTGCAATACTACAAGATGTCTGTATCTAAAATACAAAGATTAAAGAATATATCAGGTACTGTACAGTGAGCTTCAAAAGTATTGGAAAAGGGACAATTATTTTGTTGTTTTGGCTCTGTACTCCAGCACTTTGGATTAGAAATGATACAATGACTATGAGGTTAAAGTGCAGAGCTTTAATTTTAGGGTATTTTCATCCATATTGGGTGAACTGTTTAGAAATTTCAGCACCAGAACCTCCCCTGTTCTTGAAATGGTGTGAGGAGGTTAGCATGTCTTGGATGTATGATATTTGTGCATCTGTAACTTTCTCACTAATCATTATTCACAATTCATTCAGGATTATCCGTAATCATGGTAGCGTCCACATTAATGTTGAAGTGTTTAGAAAATATATTATATTCTTATTTACAATAAAGGTGACTTCAAAATGGCACATTTCATTATTTACCATTCATTTCTATTGGGTACAAAATAATCTGAAACACAACCAAAACAAACAGCAAATGCATCCAACAAGTTTGTAAAGTCACAAGCTTGATGTAGTCATTGCGTGATATAAATATGGGACCAAATACATCTGCACACAGTCTTGTATCATTTCAAATCTAAAGTGTTGGAATACAGAGCCAAAACAAAAATAAATGTGTCACTGTCCCAATACTTTTGGAGCTCACTGTATATACAGGTAACTGCCAAAACAATGGAAACGCTTGAGTAAATGAGGGATACAAAGTACATTGAAAGCAGGTGCTTCCACACAGGTGTGGTTCCTGAATTAATCAAGCAATAACATCCCATCATACTTAGGGTCATGTATACAAATGCTGGTCAGGCCATTATTTTTGCCATTATTTTGGCTACCATGGCTATGCCCCCATAGAATGACAATGCCCCCATCCACAGGGCAGAGTCGTCACTGAATGGTTTGATGAGCATGAAAACGATGTAAACCATATGCCATGGCCGTCTCAGTCACCAGATCTCAACCCAATTGAACACTTACGGGAGATTCTGGAGCGGGGCCTGAGACAGCGTTTACCAACACCATTAACACAATACCAAATTATGGAATTTGGTTATTTGGTTATCGCATCCCTCCAATAGAGTTCCAGACACTTGTAGAATATATGTCAAGGTGAATTGGAGCTGTTCTGGTGGCCCAATGCCCTATTAAGACTTTATGTTGGTGTTTATTTATTTTGGCAGTTACCTGTTTATAGATGGTTAATCACATACAGCATCTCATTGAATTTCTGTGTGTTTTCCTTTCTAGCCGAGGTTGACACTAGAGTTTGGGCAGATAGTGATCTACACCACCAGCTTTCGGGTAGTAAGGGCCACGTTTGAGCGGTGTGAGTTGGTCCGGAAGATCTTCTCCAACCATAGGGTCAAGTTCCTGGAAAAGAACATAGCCCTGGATTGTGAGTACGGGAAGGACCTGGAGGAACGATGCAAGCGTGTGGGCGAACCTCCCTCGCTACCAGTCGTGTTCATCGATGGACACTATCTCGGGGTCAGTGCTTTCACATACAGTTCATTTTACAATTCCTGGGCCTGTATTCATGAACAGTCTCAGACTAGGAGTGCTGATTTAGAATCAGTGTGGCATTTTATATCATAACGAATAAGATTACATGGACAGAGGGGCCTGATACAGCACTCCTACTCTTAAACGCTTTATGAATACTGTTGACGTTTGAAATTACTAACGTCCTATTGTGAAACATTATAGCTTGTATTAACCTTCATCAAAATATATAATCCATCTTGAACCTATCAAAGTGTTATGACCATAAAGCTATGAAATAATCAAAGGTTTAGTAAGGATACGAGGAATCTTACACTGTGATAATAACTTTGCAGGGTGCTGAAAAAATATTGGGAATGAATGAATCAGGAGAACTTCAGGATCTTCTGGCCAAAATTGAGGTAATTTTTCATCAAGTACCTCCAAGCAACAGATATAATATGTTCAGTAATAACACCGGTAACTGCACAGTTATTAACTAGTTCAATGTCATGTTTCAACTGATGCATCTGAGCCCAAACAAACATCAATGAAACACAGGCTAGCACAATAGCACTTCTATACCACATTGGCTACTCATCTACAGTGACAAAATACCAGTTCTATGTATCTGTGATCTAGAGCAGTGGTTCTCAATCCTTGTACTGGGGACCCAAAGGGGTGCACAGTTTAGTTTTTGCCCTGGCACTACACACCTGATTCAAATCATCAAAGCCTGATGATGAGATGATGATTTGAATCAAGAACCACTGATCTAGAGAGATACGCAGTACAGAATGGGAATAGAAGGACTTGATTCCATTCCCCCTCCAGCCCATCTGTGGAGAATGAACAATAAACCTCAGTCAGATATGACATCAATAATACATCAGGGAACTGACATAAATGATGCACGGGCATCAATAAATGGCCATCAATAATGGAAGGCTTGTTATTGATGCTGCATCCAACAAATTTGTTCACACACACACGGGTGAGGGTAATATCACTCAGGGGTGGCAAATTGAGGTTGTGTGAACTGAAGTGATTCAAACAGAGTCAAAATACTGACACAGGCATAGTGCTCTGAAAAGACCCTTTCCTCTCAAGGAAAATTACAGCAGAATACAAGGCCATGTTAGCAAGCTTTCAAAGCAAATAGCCCAATTAGGCCTACTACAATGCAGCAGAGCAAACCCCCAAAGATCTTGCATACAGTACCGAACTATGCTAAACTATAAATTTAGCCAGTGGCATGACTGGCGTGTGGGTGTGTGTGTGTGTGTGTGTGTGTGTGTGTGTGTGTGTGTGTGTGTGTGTGTGTGTGTGTGTGTGTGTGTGTGTGTGTGTGTGTGTGCATGCGTGTGCCTTTTCCCCCAGAGGGTACAGCACCCCCACACATGCCAGACCTGTGGGGGCTTTGCCTTCGTCCCGTGCCCTATGTGCCATGGAAGCAAGATGTCCGTTTTCCGCAACTGCTTCACAGACTCCTTCAAAGCCCTGAAGTGCACCTGGTGCAACGAGAACGGCCTGCAGCCCTGTTCCAGCTGCAGCCAATGACGACTCCAAGTGCCTGACCCCAATATCCCCCTTCCCTAGGGCCATATGTTGTATGTTGTCCATATTAGGACAGCCTGAGATAAAAACAAGTCCTGCTGAGACTGTCCTAATATGGACACCGTACATATGGACTGCATCAGAGATAAGGCTTCGCACAGCATGTTTTTTTCTCTCAATAAAACTGTGTTTTTAAGAAAATATAATTTTGTGATTGGGTGTATGTTCTATTATCTGCGGTGCATGTACACCCCATTGATCATTAGCAGGTTTAAGTTTGAATTTTCGTAATGTGAAATTCTCATGGATCCAGTGTAATTCCACTGACTTTCGGTTGAAGTCGAGGTCTGATACATCTGTCCTAAAATGTATCTAGCTGTTTTCCCCCCATTTCAATGGAAACAAATCCTGGGTCAGTCTAGGACTCCACCAGGACAATCTAGGTCTGGTCATTGAGGTGTAAGACCATCGCTGATATGTAACAGTGTAGAGGTGGCCTGATGACCTAAAGCTTGTTATATAATTAAGGCTGAGGAGGATGACTCATTAATTAAGCTTTCATCACTAATCCTATGGCCGACATGTATCAGGATAAAGGAGCAGAGAGGGAAGGCAGAGTATTCTGGGAACACTTTATTGGGATTCTCCACTTAAATAAATATTAGAAGCCCTGATTCAAAGGTGGAAAAAAATAATATCAAAGTTTATAAGGACGAGGAGAGAAATGCGCTTTCCTTACAGTGATAAAGTAGCGGAAGCAGTAAAAGCAGATTGGAAATGTGTGCATAGAAACAATGGAAGTATAACAGATTTCAGAGACATACAGTGGCTTTGCGAAAATATTCACCCCCCTTGGCATTTTTCCTATTTTGTTGTCTTACAACCTGGAATTAAAATGGATTTTTGGGGGGTTTGTATCATTTGATTTACACAACATGCCTACCACTTTGAAGATGCAAAATATGTTTTATTGTGAAACGAACAAGAAATAAGACAAAAAAACTGAAAACTTGAGCGTGCATAACTATTCACACCCCCAAAGTCAATACTTTGTAGAGCCACCTTTTGCAGCAATTACAGCTGCAAGTCTCTTGGGGTAGGTATCTATAAGCTTGGCACATCTAGCCACTGGGATTTTTGCCCATTCTTCATGGCAAAATTGCTCCAGCTCCTTCAAGTTGGATGGGTTCTGCTGGTGTACAGCAATCTTTAAGTCATACCACAGATTCTCAATTGGATTGAGGTCTGGGCTTTGACTAGGCCATTCCAAGACATTTAAATGTTTCCCCTTAAACCACTCGAGTGTTGCTTTAGCAGTATGCTTAGGGTCATTGTCCTGCTGGAAGGTGAACCTCCGTCCCAGTCTCAAATCTCTGGAAGACTGAAACAGGTTTCCCTCAAGAATTTCCCTGTATTTAGCGCCATCCATCATTCCTTCAATTCTGACCAGTTTCCCAGTCCCTGCCGATGAAAAACATCCCCACAGCATGATGCTGCCACCACCATGCTTCACTGTGGGGATGGTGTTCTCGGGGTGAGGAGAGGTGTTGGGTTTGCGCCAGACATAGCATTTTCCTTGACGGCCAAAAAGCTCAATTTTAGTCAATCTGACCAGAGTACCTTCTTCCATATGTTTGGGGAGTCTCCCACATGCCTTTTGGCGAACACCAAACGTGTTTGCTTATTTTTTTCTTTAAGTGATAGCTTTTTTCTGGCCACTCTTCCGTAAAGCCCAGCTCTGTGGAGTGTACGGCTTAAAGTGGTCCTATGGACCGATACTCCAATCTCCGCTATGGAGCTTTGCAGCTCCTTCAGGGTTATCTTTGGTCTCTGTTGCCTCTCTGATTAATGCCCTCCTTGTCTGGTCCGTGAGTTTTGGTGGGCGGCCCTCTCTTGGCAGGTTTGTTGTGGTGCCATATTCTTTCCATTTTCTAATAATGGATTTAATGGTGCTCCTTGGGATGTTCAAAGTTTCAGATATTTTTTTATAACCCAACCCTGATCTGTACTTCTTCACAACTTTGTCCCTGACCTGTTTGGAGAGCTCCTTTGTCTTCATGGTGCTGCTTGCTTGGTGGTGCCCCTTGCTTAGTGGTGTTGCAGACTCTGGGGCCTTTCAGAACAGGCGTATATATACTGAGATCATGTGACAGATCATGTGACACTTAGATTGCACACAGGCAGACTTTATTTAACTAATTATGCGACTTCTGAAGGTAATTGGTTGCACCAGATCTTATTTAGGGGCTTCATAGCAAAGGGGGTGAATACATATGCATGCACCACTTTTCCGTTATTTATTTTGTATAATTTTTTGAAGCAAGTTATTTTTTTCATTTCACTTCACCAATTTGGACTATTTTGTGTATGTCCATTACATGAAATCCAAATAAAAATCAATTTAAATTACAGGTTGTAATGCAACAAAATAGGAAAAACACCAAGGGGGTTGAATACTTTTGCAAGGCACTGTAGGACGTTAGGCATCAGGACCCCTGACTGACCAAGCTTACTGTTAAGGAGCTTAGAAATGTACAGTATATGTCACCAACGGATTTATACTAGTTACAGTACCGTGAAAAAGTATTTGCCCCCTTTCTGATTTTCTCTATTTTTGCATATGTTTTGATACTGAACGTTATCAGATCTTCTACCAAAACCTAACATTAGATAAAGGGACCCTGAGATAACAAATAACAAACAAATTATATACTTATTATATTTATTTAATTAACAAAGTTATGCAAAACCCAATTCCCTTGTGTGAAAAAGTAATTGCCCCCTTACACGCAATAACTGCTTGTGCCACCTTTAGATGCAATGACTCCAACCAAACGCTTGCTGTAGTTGTTGATCAGTCTCTAACATCGCTGTAGAGGAAATTTGGCCCACTCTTACATGCAGAACTGCTTTAACTCAGCAACATTTGTGGGTTTTCAAGCATGAACTGCTCGTTTTAAGTCCTGCCACAACATCTCAATTCGGATTAGGTCTGGACTTTGACTAGGCCATTCCAAAACTTCAAATTTGTTGCTTTTTAGCCATTTTCATGTAGACTTGATTGTGTGTTTTGGATCATTGTCTTGCTGCATGACCCAGCTGCGCTTCAGCTCACAGATGGATGGCCTGACATTCTCCTGTAGAATTATTTGATTCAAAGAAGAACTCATAGTTCCTTCTATTAAGGCAAGTCGTCCAGGTCCTGAGGCAGCAAAGCATCCCCAAACCATCACATTACCACCACCATGCTTGACCGTTGGTATGAGGTTCTTACTGTGGAATGCAGTGTTTGGTTTTTGCCAGGCATAATGGGACACGTCGTCCAAAAAGTTGACTCAAGTTTGCCAAAAAGCACCTGGAAGCACTTGGATGATCATCAAGACTCTTGGAAGAATGTTCTATGGACAGATTATTCAAAAGTATAACTTTTTGGAGTCATTGCAACTAAAGGTGGCACAACCAGTTATTGAGTGTAAGGGGGCAATTACTTTTTCACACAGGGGCATGGGGTGTTGCATAACTCTGTTTATGAAATAAATGAAATAAGTGTGTAATTGTTGTGTTATTTATTCACTCAGGTTCCCTTTATCTAATATTAGGTTTTGGTTGAAGATATGATAACACTCAGTATCAAAAATATGCAAAAGTTGAGAAAATTAGAAAGGGGGCAAATACTTTTTCACGGCACTGTAGGTTTCCATTAAATGATTCAAGCCACAGAAAGGACTTTGACTGCATGTCTTAACCTGAGGAGGGACCGTTTTCCAGAGTTCTGTCTTTGTAACTACTAGTGTGCATTAGGGCACAGTGCTGCTTTCCATTTTATTTACACATCAATAATACCATGCAACTCAATAAGACAGAAACTCAACTCTGACCCTACGAGGTCCGCAGCCTGCTGGTTTTCTGTTCTACCTGATAATTAATTGCTAAATCGTTCCCAATTAGAGGGGAAAGATGAAAAAATGCAGTGGAACTGGCTTCGAGGTCCAGAGTTGAGTTTGAGGGCAATGGAAGATGGATACAAAAAAGAAAAGCCAGTATTAAACGTGCATGTTTACAGTAACTAACACCATTATACTGTGTGAGACAGGTGGTACCTTTTTATCTCCACTTTTGTTGAGACTGTATTTTTTTGATGGATGATGTCATTCTCTCGGTCTGCCATCCACTGTCAAAGAAATACAGACAGGCATCTCTGCGTTGAGGATCTCTCTACGCTGTCATAGCCCTGTACAATGCTGCTTGAACATGATTCTACAAGGCAGCACTGTAAAGAGGCTAAAAGCAAAGAGCAAGGCGCATCACTTTAATTCACTCTTGACACTTGACTTTAATAGATGCCACACTACCTGTATACCATACACTCACTGACTGATAGTCATTGTTTCCAGTTCGACGTAGAAACACCTTCGGTGGAATGTGTAGCCTAATACGATTTATTTCATACATTTTTTTATCATAATCTAAGCGTTGAGGAATAATGTTAGGACATTGGGTCGTGACGAAAGAAACCCAATAGCATGCCCAATTGCGGTCTATTGCGCTCCCATCCGTAGGCTATATCTTGGACAAGAAAACAAATAAAAATACGGTGCAGGAATAAAAAATAACAAATGATCTAACAATGCATTGGCCATATTATTAGCCTATATAGCATAATCTGTCCACTCTACTCTACACAACGCAGTTTGTTGGTATATGAATGATAGGGAAGAGCAGGTGATTATTATAGGCTACACATATTTTGATAACGTTGATGATCTCAAGAGCGCGCGCGCCATCGATGCAACGTTATTTCCCACAGGTTTGCAATATGATACATTTGTAATCATGCTAGTTTTATAGTCGTTGTTAATCCCACATTACAAACTTCTGATATTACCTAAAGGAGAAAATGACACATGAAAGAAAAAGACAAGATGGTGAGAAGAACAATTGAATTGGAAATTGCATGACGACACATGACATTGATGCGCGCGCTCTCTCAACACCCGGTTAAATGTGTTAGACAACATTTAATGACAAAAAAACCTGGAACGTTGCGTGTCCTTTTTCAGCATTTTCTGATGTGCGATGGTGGACAATTGTTTCTCCGTCGGAGAAGCCTACTTGGTCCTGCCGTGATGCTGTGTGCAATGCTTCTCAATGGTTGGTCAATGCGCAGTTTGGTTGAATAAGACTGTTTTTATTGACGTCACCGCATAGGCTACTGCTTTTCTTTATAATTTCGAGAGACTAATTTCTATAACTCCTTCCTCCATCGGGAATAAAGATGTGCACCCAGGCTACGAACAACAAAATCTGCATGACATGATATTTGTTTTGTTGTTGCTGCTGATATTTCGAAGTTTATGGGATTTATTTTCTTTTAGCTATTTTAAATTCAGTGTTCCACGCCAATCCTGTAGCCTATGTTGGTTATATATTGATAACCAATAATTGACTAATGTTTTATGCTTCAGCAAATGCAGCATAAAACATAAAGCATCCAACTGATTGATGGGTCATATTAGCTTAGTGCAGAGGCCTGTAGTACTATATGGGTAAAATACATCTAAAGAGCCCGCGGGAATCAAATCGTTGCGCCCTATAACTGGCGCACAAACATTCAGCACAATGGACAGTACCAAATAAATTGTGAAGACTGATCGCGGTTTCAGCGCCACAGCCGCTCTGCTTATAATAAGCGAAGATTTAACGTACCTAGCTGTGTCTAGTTGTGTAGGGCTGTGGCTGTACGAAGTCCTGCACAATAGACTGCAATGCGTTTTGCTATCGTACACCTTTCCCTTCTGCCTGAACTTGTAAACGCATACTATTGCAGGTTTCCGGACTTTGATTGAGCCTACTCCTAAATTTAAAAACATGTTTAATGGAGATTCTCAACCTGGTCTCAGAGCATTTCGTATTATTTTGTATGTAAATCTGCAACACTCCATTTAGGAAAGGAAAGAGGGATACCTAGTCACATGTACAACTGAATGCATTCAACTGAAATGTGTCTTCCAAATTTAACCCAACCCCTCTGAATCAGAGAGGTGTGGGGGCTGCCATAATCGACATCCACGTCATCGGTATGAAATGTTATGTTTCATATGGTATGTATTCATTTGTGGATGTCCATCAACCATTTGGTATGATATGTTATTAATAAAAATTCAGATTATCTGTTAAGAATTTACAAAACGCACAATATGCTAAGAATTTGCTCAACGCACTATATGTTACGAATTTGCTAAATGTATGAGACGTTATGAATTCTAGCTAGCTGGCTAACGTTAGCTAGGTTAGGGGTTAGTGTTAACATTTTACATTTACACTTTAGTCATTTAGCAGACGCTCTTATCCAGAGCGACTTACAGTTAGTGAATACATATTTTTTTTATACTGGCCCCCCGTGGGAATCGAACCCACAACCCTGGCGTTGCAAACGCCATGCTCTATCAACTGAGCTAAGTTAGCTAAAAGGGTTAAGGTTAGGGTTAGCTGAAAGGGTTAAGGTTAGGGGAAGGGTTAGCTAACATGCTAAGTACTGGAAAAATTGATAATTAGCTCAAATGCTAAAGTTGTCCGTGATGAGATTTGAACGTTCGCGTTATACGCCCACCCATCCAGAACAGGCCTTAAGTAACCATCTGTCTTGTGTAACAATACCAAATGTAACATATCATACTAATTTGAGTGTGCCAGATTTACAATTACTATGTTACGTCTAGTCTATGAGACCAGGCTGAGATTCTTCAAGGTAAGTGTTTCATAGTCCAAGAAGCCTAATCTGTGTCTGGGGAACCAGCCTATAGGGAATACATTTGAAGATTACTGCAATACTGTTCTCCCTGTGGGTATCCGTTAGGACCCCCGCCCCACCACTAAGATAGTGGAGCCCAAATTTCAACAGGCATTCCTTGTGTTGAACTATGCCCTCCCCATTCAAAACCATTACAGGAGTAATTCATCAGTCTTCGGGAAGATGGTCCAATACTAACAACTCAACAAAGAAGAAAGCAAAAGATAAATTAAGATTTATTTGAACTCCTTCAGCAGTTGTTATATAACCAAAGGAATTCTTACATTATCAATGAACACCTTTAAAAATATATCCACCCACCCCCGACAAAACAGAAACAACTCCAGCCCACCTCTCAATACACCATTGGGGTATAAGCTTCCAGCTGTGTCCCTGCACCCTGCTGTACATTGGCCAGACTGTCCGTTACATCAACACAGACATGAGAGCAGAATTCAAATAAAAACAGTCACAATGCAATGGGTCTGTTCAGGCGGGTGAAATGTTACAGAACGTTCAGGTAGAAATTAATTTTTATATCACAGCTATGATTTGTCATATAGAATTAGGAATCATGTCAGCTCTATTCATTACATATCTATCTGCAACGTTCTGAAAATTTTTCCTTACTGACTACACCCGTTTAGAGCAGAACTATCAAGCTGGGAAGGTCAAAGTTGGGACAATGGCTGTACAAACATCACAGTATTTTATGGATGGTCAGAGCATTAATATTATTTGTTGTTGTCTTAGTCTTTACACAGAACTGTCCACGGTAAAACAAGAGTTTTATTATTTCACATAAGGCTCAGAAACAAAATGGCTACCGACAGCCTACTATTATTTACAGCTCTCCGGTTGTCTGAAGACCACTTCATCTTTGGAGCAAAACATACAATCTGTCATCTGCTGACAAGCCAGCAAACAACTGAGTCCCCACGTTTGCAGAATTTCACAGCAACACGCAGAGGTCCACAGCTGTAGCAAAAGAGAGTATTTGCATAGCATTGGTGATTTTTCATTAAGTGCTACTGTATTCAAGGTCATCTCACTCAACTCTTAAATATTTCAAATCATCACTAATTCTTAGAACCCTTTTGAACAACTTCTTTCATCAATGGTATTATGCTACCAATAACATATTCTGTTATAGTAACGCAATCTAGTCATCACTAATACACAATTCCATTCAATGAACTGGCGAGATGCGAACATGCCATCTTGCAGTGTGCATAGGTACATTTCCCAAAATATAAAAGGGAAAAAATACTTTCTCTACATACTAAAAATAAACTATTCTCTGCTGCTTTTGTTAAGTACTTGTATAATTATTTGCATTCATAAGGGCATACTTGCAGAGGGAGTATGGTTCCATGTAGCTTCTTAAGCTTTATGTATACTGAACAAAAATATAAAAACGCAACGTTAGTTCCATGAGCTGAAATAAAAGATCCCAGAAATGTTCCATATGCACAAAAAGCGTATTTGTTTACATCCCTGTTAGTGAGCATTTCTCCTTGCCAAGATAATCCATCCACCTGACAGGTGTGGCATATCAAGAAGCTGATTAAACAGCGTGATCATTACACAGGTGCACCTTGTGCTGGGAACAATAAAAGGCCACTAAAATGTGCCGGTGTCACACAACAATGCCACAGATGTCTCAAGTTTAGGGAGAATGCAATTGGCATGCTGACTGCAGGAATGTCCACCAGAGCTGTTGCCAGATAATTTAATGTTAATTTCTCTACCATAAGCCTCCTCAAACGTCATTTTAGAGAATTTGGCAGTATTTCCAACCGGCCTCACAACCGCAGACCATGTGTAACCACGCAAGCCCAGGACCTCCACATCCGGCTTCTTCACCTGCGGGATCGTCTGAGACCAGCCACCTGATGAAACTGAGGAGTATTTCTGTCTGTAATAAAGCCCTTTTGTGGGGAAAAATCCATTCTGATTGGCTGGGCATGGCTCCCCAGTGGGTGGGCATGGCTCCCAAGTGAGTGGGCCTATGTCCTCCCAGGCCCACACATGGCTGTGCCCCTGCCCAGTCATGTGAAATCCATAGATTAGGGCCTAATTTATTTATTTAAATGGACTGATTTCCTTGTATGAACTGTAACTCAGTAAAACCGTTGAAATTGTTGCATGCTGCGTTTATATTTTTGTTCAGTATATAACTGCTTATTGATACTGGTCAGTTTGAATAGTCCAAAGACATTATTTTTCAACTTACTTGTTTTTTTCCCCTTCTTGTGGAAACATGAACAAAAGTCAACACATGAGAACTATATTCAAAAGTTAACTGTACAGCCACTGTATAAGTGTCCAATTTCAGAACTTCCGTGCTTTGAGCCCAGTCTATCACTGTCACACCAGGTGTACCTCGGTCTCTAATCTGTTTCTGGTCAACCCACTCGTAACATTGGTAACGGCATGGTTAAATCAACATGGAAATTAAATCACTGTCCCAGCACGTGTCTGTCGGTTATGCAGTTCTGTCCTTGAGCTGTTCTTGTCTATTAATGTTCTGTATTCGCAACAGCTAATAGGGATCCTAATAAAATACCAAAAAGGACTATTCTACAGTAAGACTTGTTCTGATGAGTTGGTTGGAGAGGATGGGAGACAGTGGGAGGCAGAGTGCAGAGGTCGGCTTGGCTCTCCTCCAACCCCTTTCTCTAGTTCCTTCTTGCAGTCGCACGACTTTCCCTGCGTAGATCCGTAGTGTTATAGAATCTCCAGGTCGACGTGCCGTACCTCTGGGTTGCGTTGCTGTTGAGTGACAAAGAAACAGGACGCATTAGATATTACACATAAAAGTATTAAATGAATGGCAGCCATCAACTTGGATGACAATGTATAACAGTACAGTATGCATTAGTTAATATGTGGTTTTGATCACCAACTAACAATTAATACAAAATGTGTCTCTGGTGTGAAATATTGCTGAACTGGACTTGACAAGTCCCACAAGCTGCAACAGTGTACTCAGGCCTGTTCGGGAGACTGTTTGGTTCTGAATCCCTACACTTCTCCCTGAACTGTGCACTTCCTTACCCTCCTTAATTAATGGATGGGTTCTTCATGCATTGATTCGATGTAAGCATGTGCTCGAGGGAGATCCCACCATATTTATTACACCAATCCAGTACTTTTTAAATTCACAATGGGGATTAAACGAGTGCACACTTTGGGGAGAAGGGAACGTAGAGAATGGGAGTGCAGCTCCTCTCTACCTTGAGCTCTTTCTCCAGGCGGTCCACCTCGGCCCCAAGGGTGTCAATGATGTTCTCGCCGTGCTTCAGCATGAAGTTCTCCAGCTCATCAGTGGTCTTCACCTGCTGGATGTCCTACAAGCCACAACAAAGTAACACACACCTACCTGACTAGATAATCATAGCTAGCGCTGTTACATTCAGGGAGTCATGTGTCATTAAGCAATATTCATTCACTTTAAAAGAAAATAAGATAATCAAATTTTTCCCCAGCCCCATCCCTCGGCTGTATACCAAAACAAGTGGAAGTGCTACCGTTTGGCTGAAAAACGAATCCCAGATTGCAGCTTTAAAAGGATTGTACAATGGCTACCAATGCAGATAGTCAACCCCAGTAATCCAGGCATCCAACTTTCCAAAGCAGAAGGAAAGACAAAGCTCCTTCATGAAACACTTGTTAGCGTCAGCCTTACGTGGAGGATCTGTTCGATGTCCTGCTTCTCCAGGTAGGACCGGGTCACCACCCGCCCGTCAAAGTCCACCTCCGCCTTGAAGCGCACTTTACTCAGCCCCAGGTCTGTGGCCTTCACATCGTGGATCGCCCTGGTCAAAGCAAAGACAAAAAAAAGTCGGGGTTAAATCTCTTATTTATTTATTTTATTTTTGAAATAGGGACCACAGGTGTAAATGAGCTATGTAGCTAACTCTTGTGCAATATTTGTGCATGGTCACTGACAAACCATAACATAAATACATTTTAAGAGCATATCTGGGGCTGCATGTATCAAACATCTCAGAGTAGGAGTACTGATGTGGGATCAAGTCCCCCTCTGTCATTACAATATTATTCATTGTGATCTTAAAAAGGCACAACTGATTCTTAAAATCAGCCCTCCTACTCTGGCCATGGCTCCAGCGGACCTGCTCTGACTTAGAACCAAGGCAAGGCCCTGGCTACTTTTCAGCTGGCATTTACATAACAATGGCTAACTATTAACTTAACAACTTCACAAAGCAACAGTCTTGAATGATGCAGAGGTTGTTGTTTCTGCTTGCCACAAGTCTTTAGTGTCACACTCCTGATGGAAACAACATAACACTAGAGCGGACAGTAAGATAAAACACTGGCGGCCCACTGGTGTAGGGGGAAGTCTCAATGGAAAAGCCCAAGGGAGTCTATGGGGCAACTTTACAGCTGTACATAAAGCCCCATTGGCAACACTTCCCTCCCAGACCTCCAGTAGGGCAAAGCATGTACATGTCAAGTGCAATAAATACCAGGGACCCCATTTTTCATGCTGGATGCTTTGGACCAGCATGATCCTGGACCAGGGCTTCCCAAACTCGGTCCTTGGGCCTCCCAGGGGTGCACGTTTTGTTTTTTGCCCTAGCACTACACAGCTGATTCAAATAATCAAAGCCTGATGAGGAGTTGGTTATTTGAATCAGTGCTAGGGCAAAAACAAAAACGTGCACCCAGGGGAGGCCCCAGGACTAAGTTTGGGAAACCCTGTCCTGGACTATAGTGTCAGTGCTGAGAGCTGAGGCCTGGATCATGTAGGGACAGAGGCCAGGGTCATGCGACAGAAGACATTTTCAAACGCTACGTGGCGGAAAATGACAATTAGTAGGCCTATTTCTTATTGGACCAAGTCCAGGTAGTCCCACCCTGTTTCAGTCTGTTTTTATTTAGTTTTGTGGTTAATAAACAACCCTGGGACAGGGGACATGGAGGCCTAGAGGAGGCCGCACCAAGGTGAAGATTCCCCTAGGTACAGATCTATGATCAGCTTCTCCTCTCCTAATCCTAACCTTAACCATTATTGGGGGAAATGCAAAACTGAGCCCCAGATCAGCATCCAAGGGGGCCACTGACCTGACGGCAGGGTCGTTCTCCAGGAACTCAGTGAGCTTCTGGACGTGCTCGGCCTGGATGGAGCGTCCCAGCAGGGCCTCAGTATTGGTGTAGATGAGGAAGGCGGACACGGCGCCCAGGAGGGTTCCTATACCCAAAGAGCCCAGGCTGTCGTACAGCGGGTTACCTGGCACAGGAGAGAGTTGGCTGTGTCTCAAATGGTAGCCTATTCTCTATATAGTGCACTGTGTTGGGAATAGGGTTGCCATTTGGGAAACAGCCTAAATAAGGAGTTGTGGCTTGACTATGGACACGTTCCAGGTCATCATCTTTACTGCATTTGTAGTCTACATAGGATGTTAGTACTATGTATAGATTTCAGACTCAAAATACACAGCATTGGTTCACTGGTAATATCAAATCTGACTGGCCAGAGTTCAGACAGCTGGGTAACTGGAGAACTCAAGTTGTGCAATGTTGTCCCACTGGAAGGGACATGTATGTGTGAGCCTGTTTATGTGTGGGGGAATGAATAGTGTCTCTGAGTGTGTGTACACACACACACACACACACACACACTTGTGAACAAGGTGAGCCCTTTGTGTGTGTGTGGACGTCTTTAACTATTCTTGTGGGGACAAGAAGTCCCCACAAGAATAGTAAACGAACAAAATTTGACCAACTGGGGACATTTTGTTAGTCCCCACGAGGTCAAATGCTATTTTTAGGGGGTTTAGGGTTAAGGTCAGAATTAGTGTTAGGGTTAGAATTACATTAAAGGTTTGGAGCTAGGGTTAGTTTTAGGGTTAGGAGCCAGGGTTAGATTTAGGGTTAAGGTTAGGTTTTTGGGTTCAGGTTAAGGTTAGGGTAAGGGTAAGAGTACGGGTTAGATTTAGGGGTAATAGGATTTTGAAAGGGACTGAATTGTGTGTCCCCACAAGGTTAGCTGTACAAGACTGTGTGTGTGTGTGTACCTGTAAGCGAGATCAGCCATGTGTGTGTACCTGTGAGTGAGGTGAGCCCCATGCAGCTTGAGGCAATGATCACTCCCAGCACGGCAGCAGAGTCTTCCAGCAGCACCACGTTAGTACTGGGGTCTCGGCTCTGCATCACTAAACACCAAACAAGATACTGCTTTACTGATCACAACAATAACTACTGATGCACATACATATGTTAAGGGATGACATGCTGACAACTTCAACTTATACAATTGTTTAGTATTAAAGCAGCAATCAGCAGTAGACAATAACAAAGCATCCTCCCCGCCCTCGTTTCGGTGAAAAGCTGAGGGATGGGGCTGAGCTATGGATGCAAGGACTGACCCTCCATGATATCACAATTATAGTTTTAACCATGTTGAGGCGATAGTATTTCTTTAGATTTATTTTGTGTACAAACATTGGAGTAAACAAGCTATATTTGGGGTTCTGATGGAGTATGACAGTTGAACTAAGCTCATGAGGCATTTAGAAGTTAGATTCAAAAAATGGATGTAGCAACTGCTGATTGCCCCTTTAAGACTGGGGTCATGTTAAAACTTAGGATACATTAGCGTTTGGGTAGGTACTCAAGTCATTGATGCATACATCAAATAAAAAGGTTACAAAACAAATGTGCATTATACAAACCATATTCGTAGAAGGACACTCCTTGCTGGCCAGCACTCTTTTTGATCTCATTGATGGCCACTAGCAGTGTTGCTGAGAGGGAGGGAGGAGAATATATATTAGTCATGGGTTGCATAGAACAGTCACAGTGCACCTTCCCAGTCAACACATATACTGCATTACATCCATTTTAAATTAATGTACACATCAGGGGCTATCAAGCATCTCAGAGTAGGAGTGTTGATCTAGGATCAGGTCCCCTCCCTGTCCAGGTAATCTTATGAATTGTGATCTAAAAGGCAAAACTGATCCTAAATCAGCAATCCTACTCTGAGATGCTTGATAGCCCCTGATGTGTACATTAATTTAAAATGGATGTAATGCAGTAGGTGTTCAATGGGAAGGTGCACTGCAATCCTACGCTTGTTAAATATGGCCCCAGAGGGTGACTTCCGATCATAACCTACCTCCTTCTGAAACCAGAGATCCTGCCAAGATACAGTAAGCCTGCAAGAGACAAAAAACAACTATTAAGAGGGACGGCGCTCCAAAAGCACGGTTCGATCAACCACTTTGGCCAATAGACAAGAGGGAGTAACAGTGACTCAGTAACACTATGTGAATGTTTGATACAGACTACATTGCAGTCGGATTGTGTAGAATCACTGTACAAATCACCTTGCATCCCAAACAGCCACTTATTTGTGTGAACAAGATTAGCGATTCTGCACATGGCCATGCCCAAAGTGATCTCCTCAGCCGCGGTAACAATGGCCACCACTCACCCAAAGCAGAGACTCGATTGGCTGTGGGTGCAGCAGTCCCATGATGCCATGGTACCAGGAGAGACCCGCCCCCATCATGAAGATACCCACGCCGCTGATGAGCGAGGCGATGTAGCGCATGTTGGAGAAACCGTACCTTTAAGGCAGGGAAGAAAACCCGAGTTTGTTTTATATCTGCACTCAACCCCCTCCGGAAGACAGACAGACACCAAACACATACGTTGGAGCAGAGGGTGAACCGAGACAGTAACACCATAAGTATAATTAACGGTGGTGTGCTCCTTACGGGTGGACAGCGTCAGGGTTCCGGACAGACTGGCTGATGCCGATTGCAAGAAGAGCCTGCAGGAGCGAGTGATGAGGTGTTAATGGACCCTGCTGCCTTTACAAAATATACTGTATAGAAGACCATTTACAATGACTATCATACATTCCAACTAACTTTTAAGTAACCATGGCAACTGGTGTTATTTACTGCAATCAGAGATGGGACCAATTCTATTAAATCAATAATTCTAACTCATCCCTAATTGCAATATCAGGATATGTGACATGTGAATTTCTTGGTAGCCAGTGGATAGAGGGTGCGTCCCAACAATATCTCCTTTCTCCTGAAGTGTGCACTTGTTCACTACTTCCCACACATCTGAAAGCAGCAGATTGATTGAGGCATGGGATCGTGGGGAGTTTCCACAATATTTCCAATACCAGACATTTCCTTTCAAATCAGCAAAACAGAAGTGACCAAGTGCACACTTTGGGAAGGAGGAGAGATAATTGGGACATAGCCACTGTATCTGACCTGGTTGCAGGTGTCAGCCAGAGAGTGAATGGCCTCTGAGAACATGCTGGCTGATCCAGTGTACACCCAAGCCAGGAGCTTGAAGAAGAAATTCAGTCCATTACTAAGGGCAGAAAGAAAAACACAATCAACCTTACAACGTATTCACATCAGAGGACAATACAATATTTGTTTTCACACAGGGAAGTTAAAGGTTCACCCTGCCTTACACTACCAGTCAAAAGTTATCACACCTACTCATTCAAGGGTTTTTCCTTTACATTTTACAATTTTTTTACATTGTAGAATAATAGTGAAGACATCAAAACTATGAAATAACACGTATGGAATCATTCTCTCAACCAGCTTCATGAGGCGGTCACCTGGAATGCATTTCAAATTAACAGGTGTGCCTTCTTGAAAGTTAATTTGTGGAATTTATTTCCTTCTTAATGCGTTTGAGCCAATCAGTTGTGTTGTGATAAGGTAAGGGGGGGTATACAGAAGATAGCCCTATTTGGTAAAAGACCAAGTCCATATTATGGCAAGAACAGCTCAAATAAACAAAGAGAAACGACAGTCCATCATTACTTTAAGACATGAAGATCAGTCAATACGGAACATTAAAAGTTTCTTAAAGTGCAGTCGCAAAAACCATTAACCATTATCGCTATGATGAAACTGGCTCTCATGAGGACTGCCACAGGAATGGAAGACCCAGAGTTACCTCTGCTGCAGAGGATAAGTTCATTAGAGTTACCAGCCTCAGAAATTGCAGCCCAAATAAAGACACATAGAGACACATCTCAACATCAATTGTTCAGAGGGGACTGTGTGACTCAGGCCTTCATGGTCGAATTGCTGCAAAGAAACCACTACTTAAGGACACCAATAAGAAGAGACCTGCTTGGGCCAAGAAAGACGAGCAATGGACATTAGACCGGTCGAAACTTGTCCTTTGGTCTGGAGTCCAAATTTGAGATTTTTGGTTCAAACCGCTGTCTTTGTGAGACGCGGTGTGGGTGAATGGATATCTCCACATGTGTAGTTCCCACCGTAAAGCATGGAGGAGGAGGTGTTATGGTGTGGGGGTGCTTTGCTGGGGACACGGTCAATTGAGATGGTTTGGGATGAGTCGGACGGCAGAGAGAAGGAAAAGCAGCCAACAAGTGCTCAGCATATGTGGGAACTCCTTCAAGACAGTTGGAAAAGCATTCCAGGTGAAGCTGGTTGAGAGAATGCCAAGAGTGTGCAAAGCTGTCATCAAGGCAAAGGGTGGCTATTTGAAGAATCTCAAATATAAAATATATTTTGATTTGTTTAACACTTTTGGTTACTACATGATTCCATATGTGTTATTTCACAGTTTTGATGTGTTCACTATTATTCTACACTGTAAACAATAGTAAAAATAAAGAAAAACCCTTGAACGAGTAGGTGTGTCCAAACTTTTGACTGGTACTGTATATACCTGCAATATAATTCAATGGGTGCTTGATGGTGTTTCTAACACAGAATACAAATGTTTTGTTCTACTAACTTTTCTTTGCATGATCGAGTATATTTTCTGAATGTATCAACTGATATCAATGTGTTTGATAGCGGCTGTATCCAGACAGAGTTAAAGCAAGAATCCTTAATTGAAACGATAAAGCAGTCACTCTGCCTGAGGGATGGGAGAAATGTAACCACTCCAATTCATAGACAGCGCTATGGATGCAAGGACTGACCATCCATGATTTTACAATTATAGCGTTTTAACCATGTTTTGAGGCTATTCAGTGCATTTACAATGTTTACAAACATTGGAGTAAAACACGGTAATATTTTGGGTTCTGAAGGGGTACGACAGTTGAACTAAACTCATGAGGCATTTATAAAGTTACGTATATTCTTCAAGAATGCATTTATTTAATTAATTTCTAAAAATGGATGTAGCAACTGCAGATTGCCCCTTTAAAAAGACCCATACCGTGTCTTGTAAATGAATTATGCTAACTCCAGTAATTCCTGCCTGACATGGGGGTCAATGTGAACAGACCTAGTGGAGACCCTCATATGACTGCTGATTCAATAGCTCTAATCCAATAGCCCGGTGCAAGAACCTACCCATGACCCTGAACAACTTCTATTTCACTTACATTTGAATCCCCGGATGAAGAAATTGAAATGTAACTACAGTAAAACAATTCTGGGGTTCTTAAGAATAATAGGCCATTTCTGTGTGGTGTTTTTATGAGTTTTCATGACTCAACTTCACAGTAGGGTATAAAACAGAGTAATGATACTATGCTGGGAGGAGGGGACCAGACGAGGGAAAGGAGACTTACATGCATATGGCCACCATCACCACCTTCCCCGGCCCTTGTGAAAATGTCGCCCTCTTGCTGCCTGATCGGGGCTACATGACATGAGAAGAAAGGAAATCAAGCCTACTGGAGACATGTCTGCTATATCAGACTTATTCTAGGAAAAACACTAGGGTCAATTCCATTTTAACTCAATTCTGAAAAAGAACATTTACTGAGTATTTTTTAATTCATGTTTTAAAATCAAATTCACTTCTTGAAATCAAGGTTAATGTGGAATTGACCCCTACAGAAAATAAACTATCCGCTAAATGGTACAAAAAAGTAATCTAGACACATCAATGTAAAAACACTACACATCTTTCGTTTTACCATAATAGCCCTTCATATAGGCTACAGTGGTTAGCTAAGTCAAAGCTAGAATATTTAGAGGATATTCTAGCACACAAAAATGAAGCACAGTATAGAATGCACCATCACATGCTAGGGGGGGGGTGCAGTACTGTACTGTAAAGGAGTCCGGCACTATACAGAGGCACTGTGTCAATGACAGTCGGTGTGAATGACTCATGTAAATGTAGTGATAAAGGGCTGTGTGGGTTAAATAGCCCCGCACTGGGTCAAAGTTCACGTGAGGGACAGTGACAGCTCTGGTTTTGGGTAGCGGCCAGCAGGACTGGTAACTAATGTACAGTGTCCATTTCTCTGTCTATCACATTCAGTCTGGTCAGGAGATCCTGGCTGTACATCCATTTTGTTGTGGCTAGCATGACATGGCTAAATATATAACATTATATAGCATGGCTAATATGATAATAGGAATTGTGGATAGTTGCGTTTATATCTTCAATACATCTTGGTTGATCTCCACAAATGACCACCAGAAAACTTCTGGTCAAAATGTGAAATATGGATACATTTGCTCTTTGAATATTAGCTAAGCTTAATGGCATTCCATAGGGAACAACATCACTCTGCTTCAGGTCACATGGAGCCTAAACTCACCTTAGTGTTTCCCCAGAAATCTTTGTACTCCTTTAGCAACTGCTGATTCCGGAAAATATCTGAATGACACAATGAAAAGGGGTGAGGAGAGCTCAAGCAGACAGTGCAAGCTCACAGGAAACAGACCCTCAGTGATTCCTCTCAAGACCACTAAGGAACCGGGCAGCTTAAGCCCGGGTCATATTCATTAGGGCATGCAATTGTAAACTTTTAAAAGTGTTTTGCGACAGAAAACTAAAAATGAGCCTTCTTGTCCCTCCCCGTTTCAGTCAGTTTTCTTCAATCTGTTGCCTAATGAATACAACCCATTAGAGCCAAGGTTGGGCTGGGTTACAAAAAGAAAACACAGCAAATCATAAACAGAGCAAGTCCAGACGTTCCTCCTGTTTTTGTACAGTTAGTCACAGAATGCGTGTGCAGGGTGGAGGATACCTACTCTCTTCGTACTCTCTCTCCTCCACTTTCCTGAGTTTCCGCTCTCTGTCAAGGGCTTCAGGACTTCCCCACACATCTAGAGCTCTGGAATTCAGATTGAAAGAACTGCTTGATGGAAAGCTTTCGTATCGTATACAATATGGTCTACCTAATAGCATCACATTGGCATAAGGTTGCCAATGTGTTGGTCAACTGTAAAGTGCATGATTCCAACACTTGATATTTATTTTGGTGATGCAAACGCTTGCTTTTTATGACATGATTTTATCAGTAAAATGTACTAACTTGACTTCCACGTCTGATCGCAGGAATACAGTGAAAGCCTCGGTGTCGTCGTGGGGGCTGCGTCGACGGATCTTTCTTAGCTGCACCAGGTCACTGAGGTCACACGAGAGAGTGAGAGAGACGGACAGACAGTCAGTGGGCTGAGTACATTAAGAGTCCCTGCATCATTAAGAGTCACATGGAAGTTAATGTCCCATAATGTGATAATCACAACAGTGTGTTTCCCCATTAGCTTAGTGGACGCTTGTAATGTTAAGCAGCACTGGTATGTCTGGAATACACTGGTTACAGAAAAGGATGGCTACAACTTCCTTCAATGTGCACATCACCCAAGCACCAGTAGAAAACACACAAGATAACAATCATTTTGCCTTTGTGAGTTGTGATTGACTTGCCCTGTATCCAGTCATTCCTCATTGTCTAAATTCACTGTTGTAGAGGGTTTACCTTGGCTTGAGACAGAACTCGTTCATAGCTCTCACTGCAGTGATAAAGTTGTTCTGGGTGTACTTGGATCCATAGTCCCTCTTCTTAAGGACAGCCCGCACTTTCACTTGAATTGTCTCCATTTTTGTCAGACCATGTGGTGGTGTTGACCCTGAGTTATATATAAAATAAAATAAAAACACACACTACCGTTCAAAAGTTTGGGGTCACTTAGAAATTTCCTTGTTTTCGAAAGAAAATCAATTTTTTTGTCCATTAAAATAACATCAAATTGATCAGAAATACAGTTTAGACACTTAATGTTGTAAATGGCCATTGTAGCTGGAAGCGGCTGATTTTTAATGGAATATCTACATAGGCGTACAGAGGCCCATTATCACCAACCATCAGTCCTGTGTTTCAATGGCACGTTGTGTTTGCTAATCCAAGTTTATCATTTTAAAAGGCTAATTGATCATTAGAAAACCCTTTTGCAATCATGTTAGCACAGCTGAAAACTGTTGTGCTGATTAAAGAAGCAATAAAACTGGCCTTCTTGAGACAAGTTGAGCATCAGCAATTGTGGGTTCGATTACAGGATCAAAATGGCCAGAAACAAATAACTTTCTTCTGAAACTCGTCAGTCTATTCTTGTTCTGGGAAATTAAGGCTATTCCATGCGAGAAATTGCCAAGAAAATGAAGATCTCGTACAACGCTATGTACTACTCCCTTCACAGAAACAGCGCAAACTGGCTCTAACCAGAAAAGAAAGAGGAGTTGGAGGCCCCGGTGCACAACTGAGCAAGAGGACAAATAAATTAGTGTGTCTAGTTTGAGAAAGAGACGCCTCACAGGTCCTCAACTGGCAGCTTCATTAAATAGTACCCGCAAAACACCAGTCTCAACGTCAACAGTGAAGAGGCGACTCCGGGATGCTGACCTTCTAGGCAGAGTTGCAAAGAAAAAGCCATATCTCAGACTGGCCAATAAAAAGAATAGATTAAGATGGGCAAAAGAACAGACAATGGACAGAGGAAGATTGGAAAAAAGTGTTATGGACAGACAAATCGAAGTTTGAGGTGTTCGGATCACAAAGAAGAACAGACGCAGACCAAATGAAAAGATGCTGGAGGAGTGCTTGATGCCATCTGTCAAGCATGGTGGAGGCAATGTGATGGTCTGGGGGTGCTTTGGTGGTGGTAAAGTGGGAGATTTGTACAGGGTAAAGGGGATCTTGAAGAAAGAAGGCTATCACTCCATTTTGCAACGCCCTGCCATACCCTGAGGACGGCGCTTGATTGGAGCCAATTTCCTCCTACAACAGGACAATGACCCAAAGCACAGCTCCAAACTATGCAATAACTATTTAGGGAAGAAGCAGTCAGCTGGTATTCTGTCTATAATTGAGTGGCCAGCACAGTCACCGGATCTCAACCCTATTGAGCTGTTGTGGGATCAGCTTGACCGTATGGTACATAAGAAGTGCCCATCAAGCCAATCCAACTTGTGGGAGGTGCTTCAGGAAGCATGGGGTGAAATCTCTTCAGATTACCTCAACAAATTGACAACTACAATGCCAAAGGTCTGCAAGGCTGTAATTGCTGCAAATGGAGGATTATTTGACGAAAGCAAAGTTTGAAGGACACAATTATTATTTCTATTAAAAATCATTATTTCTAACCTTGTCAATGACTACATTTCCTATGCATTTTGCTATATTTCCTACTCAAACTCATTTAATGTATGTTGTCATGGAAAACAAGGACATTTCTAAGTGACTCCAAACTTTTGAACGGTAGTGTGTGTATGTATATACACATATACATACACACATATACATAAATAAACAGAGTGGCAATGAATTTCACAGTTCAAAAACAGAGTATCTAAGAAAATAACAGAACACAATAACTAAATACGTAATGCTTACTTACCAGAAGTACTTCCAGCTGCTTTAGGGGTTAGGGTCAAGCATGTTTGAAGAGAAGACAACTACATTCTAAAGACTGATACTTTTCATTCCTATTTTGATGTAGCAAGGCTTCAAGGGACAGAGACTTCCCTGTTCTTACGCCTCAACAGAAAACTGGGGTGTATTCATTAGTGGGCACCGTAGCAAAATGTTTTGCAATAGGGGGAAACAAGTTTGCTTCCTATTGAACACACCCATGTATGTATTGCCAACACAGGACAAACAGTGGCTCTTACCTGGGGAGTCTGAAGAGGCTTGTGCTGCTCCAGCTTGCACCTTTTCCGCAGTAGGTGGGCTGTCTGGTACTTTTGTAGTAGGAGGAGAGGGGCCATCCTTATTGCTGCCTGAGGTACAATAGTACTGGACCTGGCCCGTTGCTAGAGAGGCTACATGGAAGTCATGGCTGAACCACAGGTTGTGCATCCCTACATTGTGCCACCCTGTAGGGAAATCTGTGAGTGTGTTAGCTATAACAACATGCGTATTCCATAGGTCCACGACACACACACATTTAGCACTGACAAAAAGTGTGATGCATCAAACAGTATATCGAGCATTGACTTGAACATATGAGACTCACCGTGGCATGGTCGGGCAACCATGGGTGTTCGTTGTGAATGTGGGGCTCTGTGCTGCAGGTAGACCCTGCAGAGAACTTGCCATGGTCTCTGTGCCAGGCGGGGGAACATCCTCGCCGTTGCGGGGCTTCGTATAGCAATGCTGGAACTTGCTGTTTGAGTGATCACAAGACAGCACTGTCAGTGAGCATCGGTTGAGGGCGGCCAAACAACTGGCATCACACACCTCGTTAGCTAGCTAGCGTCATAGCCATTTACGTTAGGTTAAAATGATAACCTACTCTCCTCCCAAAGATAACATAAATCATGATGTAACTACCATCTAGAATGCTCTCTGAACCTGGCTGTAACGTTAGCTAGCTAATGTTGCCTAATTTCCCGACTCAGATCAGCTAGCTAGCTACAGTAGTTCTAAATGATCTGACCGGCTAGTATAGCTAGTTCTTGGCTAGTTAGCTAGCTAGGCTAACATGCTTAAGTTCAAATGACACAGAACTTGGCATTGTATCGACAGCACACTGTTAACCTGGTCAATCTTATGGACAGTACTATCAATTCATAAAACAGATGGATACTCTGCGGTCTGCTAGCTAACTCAATATTGGCAAGCCAGATAAAGCCAGCCAGTGCCACCCGTTGGACGCCGGTGCGAGACCAAACAGGTTTGGAAAACCTAGCTAACTAGCAAATGCTAAAGTAAAGCGTCTCCCTACGCATACATTGCGCGTTTGTTTTGGTTGGCAGATAAAGTCGGTTTATACATGGTGTGTTATTTCAGGACGGCCTTACCTTTGTTGTGTTACATTTGCTCCGCATATCTCAGTCCATTTTGAGTTCCGTGCACCTGCTAGCTACTGACACAAGGTCGCGTCCACTGCTCAAACGTTGCACGCATTAACCGATGGTTGAGTGTTACGTCATCGACTGACAGATTGCTATAATATGATGTGGTTAGCTGATACGTTAAATACCTATCCAGACGTTGTAAGATCTGGTAGGCATCATCGACGCCTGAGCAGGCGCCCAAAAACACATTTAAAAGTACAAGTGACGCTCCTCTCGTGAGAGTATGATGGTTTTCAAGAAATGGTTGTTGGCTGATATCGCGATGATAAATTAAACAAAATCTAAATAAAGGTCATGGGTCACATATTAGCTAGCTAGTCAACACACAATAATCAGTCTAAATGTAAGGTTTTCCATCATCTATGCTGAATTTGTGGTATAGATCAATGCACTCCCAACCGAAATATCATCCAGTATTACAGTCAACAGTCTGTATTATTTCACAGCACCTATCCTGTGTATGTAACTCATATATATATATATATATATACACACACACACTACCGTTCAAAAGTTCGGGGTCACTTAGAAATGTCCTTGTTTTCTAAAGAAAAGCAATTTTTTTGTCCATTAAAATAACATCAAATTGATCAGAAATACAGTGTAGACATTGTTAATGTTGTAAATGGCTATTGTAGCTGGAAACAGCTGATTTTTAATGGAATGTCTATATAGGCGTACAGAGGCCCATTTTCAGCAACCATCAGTCCTGCGTTCCAATGACACGTTGTGTTTGCTAATCCAAGTTTATCATTTTAAAAGGCTAATTGATCATTAGAAAACCCTTTTGCAATTATGTTAGCACAGCTAAAAACTGTTGTGCTGATTAAAGAAGCAATAAAACTGGCCTTCTTGAGACTAGTTGAGTATTTGGAGCATCAGCAATTGTGGGTTTGATTACAGGCTCAAAATGGCCAGAAACAAATAACTTTCTTCTGAAACTCATCAGTCTATTCTTATTCTGAGAAATGAAGGCTATTCTATGTGAGAAGAAAGTTATTTGTTTCTGGCCATTTTGAGCCTGTACTCGAACCCACAATTGCTGATGCTCCAGATACTCAACTAGTCTCAAGAAGGCCAGTTTTATTGCTTCTTTAATCAGCACAACAGTTTTCAGCTGTGCTAACATAATTGCAAAAGGGTTTTCTAATGATCAATTAGCCTTTTAAAATGATAAAATTGGATTAGCAAACACAACGTGCCATTGGAACACAGGACTGATGGTTGGTGATAATGGGCCTCTGTACGCCTATGTAGATATACCATTTTTTAAAAATCAGCCGTTTCCAGCTACAATAGCCATTTACAACATTAAGTGTCTACACTGTATTTCTGATCAATTTTATGTTATTTTAATGGACAAAAAAAGTGCTTTTCTTTCGGATAAACAAGGACATTTCTAAGTGACACCAAACTTTTGAACGGTTGTGTATATGAAAGGTCGGATTGGGGTCACTGCAAAACTAGTGCATCCTATATCAGATGATGTATCCATCAAATAATCTACCCAGAGCTATAAAATTAACACCAGCCACCTGCCAAATGCTGGTAAATTGTCTATTTCACCAGCGACGTTGGCGGGTGGTCAGAGCTCCACAGTGCGAGCATTTCACTCGCATTTGTGAATAAAAAAATATTAAGTATGCTTACATTTATAGTAAAATAAATGCTGCAGTAGCTGTTTAAAGTATTTCTGCCGTTATGTTGTAACACTGACTGTCAGGGGGCTGTGCGCGCGTAGCGCCGAGTGAGTGAAATATTCATTTTTAGAAGCGCTGCGCCCAGGCATAAAAATTGGTCTAATTTACTTGACATTTAAGTCTACTTAAGTGAGACTTTGTGCTTGTGTTTATTGGTTATTTACATTGTTTTGTTCACAAGCTAGGTTGTTTTTCACCGTTTGAGTTTCAACTGCTAGGGAAGAGTAGGTAACGTTCCCGCTAGTCAGACTCAATCTCACAGGCACAAACATGAGTACAATCAAATCACGTTACCACGGTTACGTCCCGCAGTTAAAGGGGCAGGTGAACATTTTTGGCTGGTGTGATATTTTGGTTAAAAGACTCCGGTCACAAAAAAATTCTACTAAATACCACATTACTTCTTACTAGTAATACATTTGTTTTAGAAACATTACAAAGAAAGGTCATCTGTTTTTTGCTTTGTTGGTGTAATTTTAGCAAGAAAAAATATTTGGGCTGGTAAAAAATCTAAGTGGCTGGTAGATTTTTTAATCTACCTGCCACAGTGGCTGGTGGACCAAAAATAAAATGTTAGGCCCTGAATCTACCATAAAGGCATACATTGGTCAGAGAAAGTTAATTAAACACGGTAAGCGTACCAAATTCCAAAACAAATTGCAAGCAAAAACTAGAGCTAAAAATTGGCATTAAAAAGGTGCCAAAGAAGTGGAAAATAAAATATGATACAATGCTTAAGAAAAAACTGCAGGTTTATTCAACATGTATTACAATACAGTCCTAGTGAAATTGTGACCAAGTAGTGGTGGTAATTGGGGGCAGTGTTTGCAGCGTTCTAAAACAATGACTGACAATCTGGGTTTCACATACACTAGGAGAGCGTTATCCTTACTCCCAATGCAATGACTTGACAACAATGCCTGTAGAAGATCCAACACTTCCATTTCACAGTCATTAGGAAAATCTTGCATGTTTAATAAATTGATAAGCAATGCTTAAACACCCACAGTACAAATGAAGAAAGCAGTAACTTCATCGTCTTGGTCCATCTAGGCATTTTCAAAAAGATTCAAATGAGGTGCACAAAAGAGGTCACCTAAATGAAAGAAAATGGAAGTAGAGGACTGTTATTGAAAATTGGGTTGTCAAGCTTTTGCAAAGGAAGAGGGTCGAGCCACTTGTTTCCTGGTATGGTGATTCTCGCTGGTGCGGTATAGGAAATTAAGGATCGTCGAGATGTTTGCGTTGTTAACGCATCGTAACAAATTCCTCGGACGAGGTGGGGTGAATGGCAATAGTCTTGTCAAAGTCTGCTTTGGTTGCGCCCATCTTGATGGCTACTGCGAAGCCTTGCAACATCTCGTCACAGCCAATGCCCTGCATATGAAGGCCAACCACCTTGGGGGGAAAGAGACAGGTTAGATTGAGGCAGCCTAAACATGCTGGCATGAATGGCTTGCTCATTGAGCTGAATATAGAGGGGTCTAGGGTAGTGTTCTTCAATCCTGGGTTGTGTTCATTAGGGCATGCAATGTAGAATTCAAAATGTATCGCAACGGAAAACTAAAATGAGCGTTTCCTATTGGACAAATTTACGTAGTCCCTCCCTGTTTCAGTCTCTTCCGTTTGGTGCCTAATGAACAAAGATTTGTTCAAGCCCAGCTATGAAACACCTACTTCATCAAATCAAGGGCTTGATTAGTTGATCAGGGGCCCGATTCAATCAGATCCGCTTTAGCCGAAATCCGCATAGCTGATGTTTTGACGGTTTTGGAGGTGGAACTGCGCAAGAGCTGTCAAATCCACAATGGCTCCCGGCTTTATACCTAAAGGGGACATTGCAATTGGCTGCACGGAGTCGCATTGAGAGAAATCCCATGCAGCCTTGTTTACAAGGTCGAACACTGGATTGTTAAATGTAATCTCTACCTCGATTAGGTTGATATAAATCCTCATTATTTCGTTCAATGATTTTCAATTTGAGCGTCATTATTTCTATATAGCCTACACTTTCTTGTTCTGAACTTTTAACATGAGTGGGATGGGTGTGGCTTCGTGACAATGATCACAAGAGCAGCTGACAGCTCCAACGTAGTTCCACCTCCAAAACATCAGCTATGCGGGAGTCGTCTATCGCCCGTTAACACTGGATATGATTGAATCTAGGCCTAAGTGTGTTAGTGCTGGGCTTGCCTAGAACAAAAGTCAACACATCATATGGGGTCTCCAGGACCAGGTTTAAGGGGCCTCTCACCTTCTCCTCCTTGCCCACACACACCAGCTTCATGATGCACTGAGTCTTCCTGGTGGTGATGGCGTGATACATGGGGGTGAAGGAGGTCTTGTAAGACTTCACGTTCTCCTTCCCCCTGCTTTTAATCGCCTCCTCTGTAACACAAGGAGACCAAATGTAAGACCATCAGCTTCTCTACTTCTCCCTAAAAAGTTTGCTACTTTTGACCAGTGCCACTCCGACATTGCTCGTCCTAATATATATTTCTTAATTCCATTATTTTACTTTTAGATGTGTGTATTGTTGTGAATTGTTAGATACTACTGCACTGTTGGAGCTAGGAACACAAGCATTTCGCTACACCCGCAATAACATCTGCTAAATATGTATATGTGACAAATACAATTTGATTTGATGTAACAACATGTGCACAATGATGTCTTGATTTAGTGAAATCTTGATTTAGTGCATTATTATAATAGAGTAAACATTAGAATAAGCTGCCTTAATATTTGCAGCCATAGGTGATAATATCTTTCTAGGAGCTGACCCGTCATCAGTATTGTGGAATAATTCTAATGTTAAGGTAAGATTTCAATGGAGAAAGCCGATCCGAGAACAGCGCTGCCTTTCTTTCGATCCTATCAGCATCGACACTATGCCTCAACGATGCACTTAGCGAACATTCTCTCTGCATGGTTTTTGGGAAATGCATTCCATTTGAGATGCAACCAATGGCTGCAGTGCAACGCTAGTTGATGGAGAAAATGTCACACTTTTAGGCTGGTTATTTATTCAACAGACTGACAGAGAAACACGCCAACTCATCCCACTTCAGCTGAGAACATTTACGATAAGGGGAACCACCCACCTGAGGACTTCTTTGCTAAGGGCGCACTCACCTTCCGTGAGGCCCACTGTACCGATGGGTGGGTGGCTGAAAACTACCGTGGGAATGTTGGAGAAGTCGACCTTGGCATCTTCCTTGCCGTCAAACAGTCTGTGTGCCAGCTTTCTGCCCGCTGCAATGGCGACTGCCCACACCAAACAGAACATATGTCACAATCGAGATTTGCAATGCAAAAATGTGTCTGAACTATCAACGGTACACTGTGCGATTACATTTATAGTTATCTTCTTCCTTATCCATTACAGACAATCTATACACATTCAACAGGATTCTTGGGTGAATTGCGAGCTGTATACAGTTGAAGTTATGCCTGTAACTAGACACAAGTCTAGTTCAAATAGGCCACTTTTCTGTCTGCCAGGCCCCTGATGAGTATTAACAGCCTACCAGGAGTAAGGAGGGCCTTCCCGCACACGTCTCCTACAGCGTAGATCCCTTGGCGAGTGGTGTTCTGGAACTCATCTACAACGATGAAGCCTCTCTCATCAATATCCACACCCTGTCGAAGAAGACATCCAACCTTCAGTAAGCCGTACACTGACACATGGTTTGTACTTTATATTGACATTGTTGGACTGTATTATTCACAACACTCATACATGTAGCTCTAGCTGCTTTAAAAACATGACATTACTCTTTTTGCAACATCTATGAGAAGACAGTGAGCAATGCAGGCAATGGAATCGCAGTCTACAGCATTCCAAACTCGTTTCCGAATCCCTTGTCACGTACTGAAATAATATAAACGGTTTTAGCAACATCTCCACATTTTTTCTAGAGACCTTTGTAAGCAGTCAGAGGAGTGATCCTTACCATCTGGCTGAGGTTGAGGCCGGCAGTGTTGGGCTCTCGGCCGATGGCCCACAGCAGACAGTCCACTTCCTGGATGGTGCCGATCTTCTCCTCCTCGTTCTTCTTCTCTGGGTCTTTGGTGACCAGTGTGACCTCCAGCAGGCCATTGCCTGTCTTACTCACCGACTTCACCTGCCAGCAGACACAGACTATCAGCATGTTTCAGGGGATCCGTTTGAGCAAGGCATGGTGCAGAATCACAGATCTTGATGATCACATAATGAGTAGTTATTTGGGATGGAAGGTGATTTGTAGCTATTGATTCTGCGTAGTCCGCCTACAACCTAGTTGATCTCACCAAAATAATAATGACCACTCTGAGAACAGTGGAAGGAGTATGTGCATGTTATGCATACATGTTCATAGACAAAATGTTGGATGCATTTTAATCATAGAAATGTTCATAGACAAAATGTTGGATGCATTATAAATTACAATGTTATTCAAAACAAGAAAAATAGTAGTTATAGACTATCCTCATTAAAGAAATGCTTTTACCTGAGTATTTTTCCACAACTCTATGCCAGAGTTCTGCAATTCTTTGGTGCAATTTGAGCTTATCAAGGTGTCAAAGTTTCGCAACACCTGTAGGTGAAAAGGATTAGACACGCCCTCTTGTGGCTACCTCTTGTACATGCCACACCTCCATACCAATTGAAAACTGTCACTCGTGTTTGTGGGCTGGATATATGGCTCAATGTCTGCCTGGATAGGTTCTTACCCCTGTCTGTCGACATATGATGGATGTTTTGGACCCCAGTGTGGAAAGGATGCCAGCCATTTCCACAGCAATATATCCGGCACCCACTATGACGCTGCGCCTGTTGGGAGGAAGCATTTAAAAGGATGAAACACAAACATACACTGCACACAACACAATCTGTCAAACAGCCAAGCCAAGCCAAGCCAACATCGCTGATGGAAATTATTGTCTTTAACAACATTAACTTACTTAGGAAGGCTTTCAAGTTCAAAAAAGCCATCACTGGTGATGCCAAGACTTGCCCCTGGAATCATACGAAAAGTTAAAGCTTGAATCCTTAATTGAAATGATAACAAAGCATCTCCCCACCCCTGTTTCGCTAAAAAGCTAAGGGATGGGCCTGGAGAAATGTAAGCACTTTCAAATCATAGACAGAGCTATGGTTGCAAGGGCTGACCATCCATGGTGTCACAATTATAGTTTTAACCATGTTTTGAGGCTAAACAGTGTTTGTTGACATTTACTTTGTTTACAAACATTGGAGTAAAAGAAGCTGACAGGGTACGACAGTTAAACTAAGCTCATTTATAAGTAATATTCTTCAAGAATTGTATGTAGCAACTAAGGATTCTAGTTTTAACCAACCTTATTATTTCATTTGATATTTGAAATGCATGATTTCTTCATGATAAATAAAAATTAAGTTAAAATAATTGTAATAATAAAGAAAAAAGGAATGATCAATGTATACAATTTGAACAGCAACAATGAGAATATATTCAAACGTTTAGGTATAGCAACTTTACATAGTAGACTGCAATACCATAATCGATTGTTCAGTCATAATTTAAAGCTACAATGTGTAACTTTTTGGGGCCGACCAAATTCACATAGAAATGTGAGTTATAGATCTGTAATTCTCATTAAAAGCAAATCTATGAAGCGGTAGATCTTTTCTATGCTTCCTGTTCTTAAGTTTCGTTTTTGCATCTTTTACATTTACGGTTTTGTACACCAGCTTCAAACAGCTGAAAATACAATGTTTTGGGTTATGGAAAACATATTTCACAGCAGTTTAGATGGTACAATGATTGTCTACACTATGCATGCTTGTTTTGTCACATAAACTGACATTTGGCTAACTAATATAATTTTTTAGCAACCAGGAAATGGCAGAGCGATTTCTGCATAGTGCATCTTTAAACTAAACATAACTTTTCAAGCTTAACGAAGCCTTCATTAACTTAACATCATTAACCCTTTCTGAAGCTTAACTAGACACAAATTACATGCTAGATAAAGAATGGCAAAAGGGTTGTCACATTTCACAAAGCACCTATTTAGGTTGTTGTTCATTTAAATGTGCACCACAAGGCATTTCGCTGCACCTTTTATACCTGCTGTAAACTGTGTACGTGACAAATACAATTTAATTGTACTTTTTACCTGGCACATCATTGTCACTCAAGACAGAAGGGAACCCTCCTGTGGCAATGAGGATATGAGGCGCTGTGTACTTCTTTCCATTCACCTCAACAGTGGGGTCAGGGCCGTCAGTGAACCTGGCGTGACCCTGAATCGTTTCAATTTTAGCCTGTGGGAGATGACCAGTTACCATTCCGTTCCAGGGTAGCGCAAACAAGTAAAAAAAAAACATTATTATTTGTCAACACTTTGGTTATTATTGTGTATGTCTATGCATGTCAAAACCTGTCAAAACCTGTTTTATGGCAGAAAGGAAAGGAATTGATTGACCTTTGTGCGTCTTGCAAAATATACATTCCAGTTAGTGAACTGGTTTAGGCTTACCTTGTCAAGATTGTTGCGATAGATGTGATTAAGCCGACTAACATATGCATCTCTTTTGGTCTTGATAGTTCTGCACACAAAATAAAAAAGGACTGATTACAGAACAGACCAGAGGGGGGAATTGGCCCGCAAATACATTTTCCTCTTAATTAATTTTATAAAACACACATTTCTAAATGTGTTGCACTTAATGTCAAAATGTCAGGTTGGTGCGCTCACAGAAAAGTTTGATGGCATAATAATAATTGAAAAACAGCATGTTATGTTGCACTGGACGATGAAATTATATCAGTTTGAACTGGTTGTGGCCACTCCCTTAGTCTACCCTATCACTCAGTCACCTGGGTAACACAATCTGTGTGGTGAGTTGCCAAATACACTGACGCAAAAGGCTAAAGTGGGGCAACAGACTGCTATGTAAACTGAGATCTGGATGTGGAACAAAAGGAGCATAACTTGCAGATGCTTCAAATAACAACCTGTTAACAAAGTCTCTGACTGTTATCTTGAAGGTCAGTTCATGAAAAATCTGCAATGTCTCATCATGAATCTGCCATTTCTTATTAATATAAATGTGTGGTACTTTTTCACACATAAAACAATGAGGAACCAAAGAAAAGGCTTGCCTTGTGCAAGAATATCACACACACACACACACACGTCAATGCAAAGAGAAACAAAAAATGGTGTGTGAGGGCTCTAAGTAAGTTGACATGATGCAGTAATTTAAGGTGTGAGAGGAGAGGCTGATGTCAGAACAAGTCCGTCAACTCTGGCGACCTCAAGTCAGATACTTACTCCCAGCTGAACTTAACGTGTCCGCTGTCAAAACCATAGTCAGAGTGATCGTGGAGATATTCTGCATGAACTGCAGCATTCCACATAACCTGAGACCAAAAACAACAAGGAAACACTTTCATTTCTGGATCACATTCTTCTGGCCTTTTCTATTACCATACAAATACCTATCAAATCATGTGTGTGCGTTTAATAAATGTGTATTTAATATTCCATACACACACACACACACACACACACACACACAGCACAAACCTTGCTCTACTAACAGTGCCTAGGCTACTTACACATGCCCCACCCCCACCCCCACCCCCAACCAGGGGGCTGACTATAAAACAATACCTTCTTAGGTACACAGCCGACATTGACCTGAAGAAGAAAAGCACAAAAAAGAAGACAAACATGAGCATGACTAAAAAACAAGCGAATCAGTTAACTGCACTGCATCATTAAATATCTAGTCATTGAAATATAATAGCAATGTATGAAAAGGAACCATCCATGCTCCTATGCAAGAAACATTGGTGTGTGTGATTGATGTTGAGACACAAAGCAATGGGGAACCGAAGAATCGTCTTGCATTTTGCAAGAATACTGGTCTCAGCTTTGAAATTACATTGCACAAACTCAGATTGGAGAAGTTCTGGCATGTTGTGTGGGAGAGGAATATTTTATACCTAGATAGTTTGTGTGTATGTATTGATATGTAAGCTACGTGTGCCTTAAAAAAATAATTGTTGATGTAGTTCTGTCCTTGATCTGTTCTTGTCTATTAATGTTCTGTATTATGTCATGTTTCATGTTTTGTGTGGACTCCAGGAAGAGTAGCTGCTGCTTTTGCAACAGCTAATGGATATCCTAATAAAATACCCCCCAAAAATATTTCAGGGATGGGCAACTGGCGGCCGGAGCCCCCCCTTTTGTACTCAGTTGGGGTCTCACAGACCCACATGCCACTGCTGTCCCTCATGATGAGTTACGTTTTTTTGTGGCCCCCACCCCCATCAAAGTTGCCCATCCCTGCTTTATACACTTTAGCTCAAAAGATATGACTATTCATTACAGTTATATAAGGTAGACCAGGCTTTGTGGATGTCAGACATGGTAACTGTAATAGCTTATCCTCCATAGACTGAAATGTTGAGAAGGGGGTGATGAACACCTGTGGCCATCATTCTAGTACTGTTAAACAAAATTATTATGTACCAGTAGAATGCTCGTGCGCTGGATCGGTGCCCACTGCTTTTAACTCTAACAAACCACAACATTATGCACAAAAACATCCCACAAAAAGAGGATGGTCTCGAGGCTTCGCAATGAACCCGTTGTTAACTACACCTGACAACTTTACAGAATATCAGAGACTGAACCGTGGAAATTAGGCCTATGCGATGTCATTTCAGAGTTCTCATTGGAACTATTCATTTAGTACAGTGGCTATAACCAGGATAACTTTTTACTCACACAGGTACCTCCGAGTTTGTGACTCTCGACCACGGCGGCAGTGGCCCCGAGCTCCGCTGCCCTGCGTGCACCGGCTAGACCCCCAGATCCACCTCCAATCACAAGAAAATCGAACCGGGTTGTTGCATCTGAGGCCATACTCCGACGGATAAGTTTGTGTCTGTAGGAGGGTGAACGCAATCGCCGGAGTGAGAAAATAAGAACTTGCATCCGGGTAAACGGTATTATTATTGCCATAACAAGGAAGCCCGCACACCACCGGACGCAGTTGTTTGGGCAAATGGGAGGGTCAATCCCCCGAAGTGAAAGCTAGTGCTTAGTCATTGTGAATTGCAACAATGGTCTGTAAATCCCAGAAACAATTTTAACATAGTCATGGTGATGTACAGTCTATTAGCCTACAATGATATTAGGAGCACTGACAGATAAGATTAATGGCAAATGAATGTCAAAATATAGGCCTACAGTAGACCCTTTTTAATGGAAAGATAATACCCATAATCAACATAACTACTGATGATTATAATATCAGCTGTGTCATCATCCTAAGGGCTGTCTTATATGAATAGCCAAAGCCACCACACAATCAACTTCATTTTCTTTTTGATCATGCACGGGGATGGCTGACAATTTATTTGTCAACTATTCACTGATTCATAGAAAAACACTTCAAGTTGACTTTGAGAAAAGAGACTCACCTAGACAGTGCCACTTTCAAAGTCGTGCTCACAGTGCTTGAAAGCGACTGTCTGCATATTTTGACCCTCTGCATGTTTCACGGTCTGTAGTTCATCTCATATTAACACATTTGGCTGTGTACCCGGTTGTAATGCTTCTTTAACACATTTAATGGAGGTAAACAAAGTATATACAACTTGCTGTTTACAAAATAAAGCTACTTCCTGATCCGTTAGGAAGGACCTTTCAAAATAAAAGCTCGAAACCTCATAGGCTATAGAAAGATATGGACAATTTGTAGCCAAACAAATAGGCTTATTACTCATATGCGTAATGCCTTATTTAATATTCCTAAATTAGCTATAGAATGGCATTTTTGGATGATAGCTCCAGCGATATTTCAGCTGGATAAACGACGAAAATATAGGACATATATGTCAATCACGCTAGGGGTTAAAGCGAGTTGATCACGGCGTGACCAGCCGAGCCAATCAAAATCTCTCTCGACCCTAACGTATTTCCCCCGTAGGCCTTCAGCGCTTTCTTCAACCTGAAACAGTGTTGCCATGTTTGTGATTTTCCTGCCAATGGGGCTACTTTTAAAAATATGTCGTGGATGAAAATGTATTGGTCACGGGTTTTTTGACTATTTCTAATTTGCACCGCGGCTGCCATGGCATTTATCTTTAAACATATATATTTCACTGTGACCTGCTGCTGACTGTCAGGAAGTGAGGCAGGCTGTTGCTGAGTGAGTGAGTGGGTTTGTGTGAGTGAGTGGGTTTGTTTGTTTGTGTGAGTGAGTGGGTTTGTTTGTGTGAGTGAGTTTGTGTGTGTGTGTGTGTGTGTGTGTGTGTGAGAATGTGTGTTGAGAGAGCGCTACAGTTATTGGCTGAGTCACCTAGAGGGAGCAGCACGCGCATGGCAGCTTTTTACCAGTTTTAGGTAGGCTATTTAGATTGTCATTATGGAGACACCTATTTCCAACTCCTTTTCCGTAAAACATATTAATTAAGCTAGAACTGATGCACATAAATAAATAATGGAGACAAAGCACTGGAAAATGACTTTGGGCGCACTAGAGCACATTACATAAATTCGCTCAGAAGTGGTATAAGCACAGCCCTTAGCTGTGGTATATTATCCATATACCATACCCCCTTGTGCCTTATTGCTTAATCATAGCAGTCAAATTAGATAAATCGACATCATTGATGGAAAATTATCTGGCAAGTTTAATAAGGGCAAATTAAATTTTCTCTTGGGACATATTCAAATTCCTTTATTATGTCATGTCATACCTCACAATAATTATTATTTTGAGGAAACCCAAATTCTGCTTCTAACTTCGTTACAAGTTACAACGATATTCCTTCTTAATTGGCGCGATAACGTTATGGAAAAAGTTTTATTGTATAAATATGGCAACTCTTCTCTTGCAAAAAAAAAAAGGGTTCGTTTTCAGACCTTTTTGGGCGGGTTTTGTGTGGTCATTGTGCCAGACATTTTAGCTTGGCCTGGCAACCTGAGCTGAAAGAATGTGCAGAAAAATAACGGAGAAACGCAACATCGTAGCTGCTCAAATTGTATTTGCTGTACATTTTACGATTCTTTCAAGCATTTGAAATCCACTCGTCGGCGTATGGAAGTCAGTGCGTCCAAAATGTAGCAGGACATAATGGCACAAAGTCAAAATGTCAACAAAGGTTTGTTCACAAAAAATGGTCACATGCTAATATAGCTAGGCTAACTTAGCATCCTCTGTCAGTTCTAATCTCGTGGAAAACAGCCATGGTATAAGCAATTCAAGATATTATTAAACATTTTCAATTCGATAAAGGGGCAATCTGCAGTTCATACAACAACAACAACAACGCGATATCCCACCAATGTTAGGGTAAACAGAGGGGTGGGGCTGTTTAAATGTAACCACTCTCAAATTCATAGTTGGGGCTTTTTCTCGATTCCTTGATTTTCTACTGGCCTCCTCAAAACGGCTTGGAGAAGGTCAGAGGCAAGGTTCCTTGGACCTTCTCTAATATGGATGATGAGGCGAGGAGATGCCTAGGTAGTGCAGAAAGATGAAGAACGTTTTGAGACTATAGTGTTTGTTTACAATTACATTGTTTATAAACAAAGTAAAACAAGCTTGCATATATGGATTGTGTGTTTCCTGTTATGTGTGATTGATATGTCCAATCACCTAAATGTTGACATGTGGTTGCATGATCCCAAATCATAATAGGCACTAGCCCAATATTAGACCTCAGATTAATTATTTAATTAATTAATAAGACAAGGTCTAAGGGCATTCCATAACGATTGCTTTCGAGATAACTCATGGTCCAATGCCTAGCAGCTGGCAGCGTGTGTCCCATGTCCGAAGCTACATCCATAATCGGTAGACGGTTCTGATTGGAGAATCGCTGTTTGCAACACCAAGCAGTGAACAAGAAACTATTCAATCCAGTTTTTAGATGCAACCCCCCCCTCTCCAAATCAAAGTCTTATATGGTTTGTTCTAGTTTTGTGTGCACACGTTGCCTCTACTTCCTGTCTGGGGCAGCACCTGGCCGTTTTGCGGGACTCATTAGCTAACAACAGACAGGTGAACCATAGATGGGTGTGAACCACCGACAGGTGTGTGCAAAACAAAACATTGGCATCCATATTAGATTTGGGGAGGGGTAGCATCTAAAAACGGGATTGAATAGTTTCTTGTTCACTGCTCGGCAATTCAAACGGAGATTCTCCAATCAGAACCGTCTACCGATTATGGCTGTAGCTTCGGACACGGGACACATGCTGCTAGCAGGTACAGTCATTGGGCCATGCGTTATCTCCAACGCAGTCGCTATGGAATGCCCTTCGATCTTGTCTTATAAATTAATTAAATAATTAATCATAGGTCTAATATTGGGCTAAATAGGCACACCTATTTAGAGTACATTCGTTGTTACTAATAATGTATTTTGGGGGAATAAATCAACACTAATGTCTCTTATTCTTTTCTCCACACAGGCAGGAAGCAGACAGCCCAACCTGGAGTAGCAGGTCTGAACAACCTATCAAATGGGAATCCTGCAAATCAAAACGCTCACATTTCAGTTGTGCAGGATGCAAGAAGGCCAGAGGAGTTTGACTTTGAGTGTGTGGTAAATTCAAAATTCAAAAACTCAAAAGTGTGGTTTTGTGAGAAATGTCGCTTTTTGACAACAGATTTTGACGATTACAGCAGCCATATTATGGAGCATGCGGTAATGAGATTTTACTGCTTCTATTGTAACCATGTCTCATACAGCGAGGCCGAATTAAACCACCATGTAGAACAGCACACCAGAGTACACCCTTTCAAGTGTCAGTTCTGTGATTATAGAGCTGTGAAGAAAGACTATGTTGAAATTCATATGAAGCGAATACACAATGCGCCTGCTGAGAAAGTATCCAGTGCAAAAGTCACAAGAAAAAGCAAACCTGTCTCTCTCCCCAGTGCTCTGCCCAGAGATCCCACATCGTCAAGGGTCGCACCTTTGCGCACTAAGAATATCACGACCAGAGTGGATGAAGGAAGACCTATGGATGGGACATTGGATGCAAACATATTGCCCAAAGTAGAGGTGGAGCTGTTGGCACCTTTAAATGAACCAATTCAACACAACAGGCCTTTGACTGTCTCTTTCCCCGAAGTGGGGACCATCCCCCCTGGCTGCCTTGTTGAACTTGTTGAGGTGAAAACAGTCAACGGGACCAAGGAACTAAAGCTGAGACTTGTCACACAACAATCTAATGGGTCTGTAGCGAAAGCCTGTCGGACCACAACCTCACAAAATGCCACTTTGTGTAAATCTTCTACGTCCAACGCCACTCCAACTACAGAAAAGGCAGTGAAAAAGAGAACTTGCACAGCCAACATATCAACCCGACAAATAAATAACCAGAAGCAGAAGGATTTAACAACTTCCCCCTCCACAAATGGTATACAACTGAGAAAACACTCTGAAGAATTGCTGGTGATGGTGAAAGATGAGCCCAAGGAAAATGTAAATCAGCCATTTGACATAGAGGAAGCAAAGGAAGAGAGCTGTGATTCTGCGCAAAAATCTGAAAGCTTCACTTCATTTACACCTGTCTCGAGTGTGTCCATGATGGGAAACGTCAAAGGCACCACCTCACCCTCTGTCTCTAACGAAGAAGTCGCACCTGTTGCACTGTCATCTCTCGTATTGTGCAACTCTAGAAGAAGCAACCCGATCATTCCCTCTCCAACAAACCAACCTAAAGAGGATGAGACATGTCATGTTGCTGACTCAAACACCTCTGGTTGGACTCAATCTCAGAATCCATTAGTAGATGATGTGCCAGGACCCAATGGTTTCCCAGTCATTTCAGCTGTATTTTCTCTAAGTAGCCCCCAACTCTTGGCGGTGGCTCTTCGGACCATAGCTTTGGGTAACAATATGCCCTCTGCAACCATAGAGCAAGGAAATATCAATAATTCTTTGATCCTCACACCTGCTAAGACAACAGCTGTGGGCAAAGTGCATGAACACAAGATAAAGCCAGGAAACACTGACATGGCCCCCGAGGGTTTGTCCTCTGTTCATAAACCTCAAATGACTCCAAAAGCCTGT